GAGAGCTGTCGAATATGCTGCGCATCTACTTGTATATGTATTCATCATGTCTGAGTTTTAGATCACGAACCCCAAAATTGGGTTCGTTGCGGCTCCAACGTTTGTATGAGTCGAGGTTCCAAGACCTCAAACGTCCCAAATAAATTTGGGATGCGTGGCTTGAGACCTAACTTTTAAGCCTTGGCTAGCCTAGTCGAGATGGATTGGGAGAATGCGACTTTCATATCGTCGTCGACGACGCGAAGAATCCTCATGACTTTGTTCAGCTCGACGACCCATTTCAACATCGAGGCTTCCTCGACCCCCTGTTAAGACATTTCTCTTCAAGCTTTCGGGCCGACACGTGTGCGTCGACCCGCCCACAGTAACATCAAACTGCTGCTCTCTTAACAGCTTTGTTCGTTGATCACCAAGTTCTCTCGACTGTTCTGCTTGTTGAGAGCGTTGATGGTGAAGCAAGGATACAAACTTTTTCCTTTTCAGCATCAAGTTCATTTTGGATAAGCTGGTTGATAGTGAATGTTGTTGGTATCGTTTAGACCGTCCAGAAAGCCACTAAGGGGTATGTGACATAGGAAAGAGCTTATTCGTTCAGCCACATTCCATTCGAGGTCAATCGAACGGGATAACTTTTACGCGTGGCGTAAAAGCTATCTCCTTCATCCAACATGCTCATGTTGGGTGTACGATCGTACACGTTGAGCGGACCAAGCAGGACTATCAGGTGCAGTGGCGCACATCTCTTACCAGAAAGCTGGTAAGCCCTTGTATCGTAATAGCACAAGGTGTGTGCTCCCAAACTTCGCGTACACCGTGCGTGCAAAGAAAGTGAAGAATCTGATCAAGAGCAAGCTCAGAATGAATAAAAAGCAAAATTGGATATTTAGTATGATTACGTATCTTGAATAATCCTTCTATATCTTGCTTGCACTATATCAAACTACAAGCATCCGATGCAGAAGCTCACTCACCACCCATTGCGCGCGTGTAGCAGCGACTGGTGGTTTCTTCGGCTCATATTATGGTCTATTTCAGCCAATTGTAAAGCGGTACCGCATATTACTTCAAAAGGTGATATGCGTTCAATATTGACTGGCGAGAGTAATATTGTTATATATCATACTAACGATAATATTTACATTGACCCAATCTGATGTCAATGACATGTAACAGCCCCCACGTTACATGTCATTGTTTCTGTTGTGGGAGGGTTCGTCTTTGCGTACAGGCAATCGTTCGTTTCAACATTTGAATTAGAACCAACTCTATCTCTTAGTTCTAACACTATCATTGATTCAGAGAACGATCTTGGTGCAATCTCTCCTAATATGTTTGGCTGTTTCTGTGCTAGTCGATAGGTCCGAGCGTATGTACGGGTAAGACCTGACAGACCGTATGCCATATTAACATTTGATAGGTGTCCCACCGTGGCCATTTGATCGTCCTTGATCCCCGCCAGCTCCAACTCAACGCGGCAGCCGCTATCAGTGGTCGACAAAGACTTAGGTTGGACTGCTGTGTCATTTCAACGGCGTTAGAATGCCATCAGCGCTCGCTGAATAGTGATGTTGAATCCATACTCGCCCCTTTCCCCCAGCTGACTCATAAATTATCGGAAAGGCATTCCTATTTACAATGGGTATGAGGTATATGCTGATTTGCAAACTGTTGTTTTTTTACCTATCAGCGCCTGTCTGGTGTTTTCGCAGCGATACGTGATGTCTTCTTTTCCTTTTGAAAGCGACTACAATGTGAAACGACTTCTAGAGTTCATGGATTCACCCGCCTTGCCCGATACGACGGTAAAGGGAAGGCATCACATTCGATTTCGGCTTGCGGTCGCAACGACATATTCATTGTATGATTATAAATGCTGAGTTTCATCAGAGACCTCAATCGAAAGTGAAACATGTTCAATGTGCATCATGCATTGACTCAACTCGCTAGCCCTAATTCGTGTGTCGAAGCTATGGTGCGCAATATTAGTACATACATACACATGTATAAAATTGATTTTGGTAAATGACACGCACTGCAACGGAACACGCTCTTACATATAACAAGTATTCCTTTGTATTTATTCATTACAAGGGTCCTTGATTTCGAACGCCACGTACACGTGATCGTTGAGGAAGCGCGAGGGAGAGAGCCAAATATTGGATACTCAGAAAAGGGAGAAAGTGGAACTTTATTTAATATAGTTTAGTTTTATACAATTAACCTTCTTTGTCTTACTTTAGCTGTATTAATCTACAATCTCCTCTACAGGTATCTCGCTCACCACCCGTTGCGCGCGTGCAGTAGCAATTGGTGCTTAAGTTGGTTGATATCATGGTCTATATCAGTTAAAAAAAGTGGAGCGGCCTCACATTTATTCTTGAATGAAATATTCAATCGATATTTCTTTAGCCACGTAAGATCGATGAATAGTATCAATCGATATAATTTACACATTGATATACATATTAATTTCAATGACATGTAACGGGCTCACCCCGTTACACGCACTCGCTATCCTGTCGTTACTGTGCTTTCCGTTCCCTCGTCAACTTTCGGGAGCACACATGACCACGAGCGAACGCTATCGCACGAGGTATTGTGAAGACACATTTGATCCGAAGACATCAACCAAACGAAAAGAAACGGCCAAAGCTACGGCGACGACAGGCGTGACGAGAATACCGATTTCGCATCCGCCTCTTTCGTCACGTGGGTTCACTTGTTAACACGGACCTCAGTTCCTTTCTTCTACCGACGATCGACAAGCTTGATGGAAGAGGATCGCAAGGTAGTCAGTCATGCAGCATCCACGCTTCTTGCCAAATCGTGAAAGAGCAAACTGTAGCAATTGTACACGCGTGTCGGATGCATTCTGTAACATTCTGCCGAGTGGATCACCAGATTCGTGCTCCCCGGCTTTGCTGTAACGCAATATATCTGCACGAGTATCCGTTCACCTGATATTCCCAATTCGGGCCTTCCAAGCAACAAGGGACAGAGACGAAGACCTCCTCAAAGCCAGAGGTCTGGCCCCTTACCTTATACGAACGTTCCTCCTTCGTGGGGCCAAGGTAAAAGGAACGAGGCCTTTCTCCGCTGCGCGTGCTACCGGAGGCAACGCAGCGTGCGACCCGAAAGGGAAGCAACCCGCCGATATTCCGCGGGACGAGGAGTGCCGACAGAGATCGACATCACCGTGCCTACGTTAGTTCCTGCTCTGTACGTGCCTTTTCTCGCGCCGACTCGTTCGCTGTGCGCGAAACCCATTCCCACGAAGTGAAGTCCTTCGAGAACACGATGGACATGTTGAGATCGAGCATTGGTCGTTGATGTAGCGTAAGCATCAGGCCAAGATATCCTTCGTCTCGTGGTGCGCCTGGGCACATCTGTACTAGATTGTGCAATGGGATCGGCCCGAAGAGCAAAGCGAGTCGACCACCACGGAAGCAGCCAGGGGTTACGTCCAGATAGCACGCGTGGGCTTCCTAAGTGGAACAGGCCTTCTAGCTATGCGTCCTCTGTTCTCTTGAGCAGATAGAAGTTTGAAGTATAGTTACGTCATCAACAACGACCCGTCTTCGAGAAACTCCGCAGACTTGCGTGTAAAACCTAAGGAGCAATGTTCATCACGTCACGTATCGGATCTGCCGCGCCGTTCGCTCGCACTTCTTACGGCTGCGCGTTGGGCTTGATTGTGCATGTCTACCACGCTATCGTTGCGACTAGACGAGCAATGGTAGCCCGTCTCTCCGAAACACATCATTGAAGGCGTCGCCTGTTACCCGATCTCACCCACAGCATGCTTTCAAGAAAACCTGATGACGCCACGTGCCCAGGCAAAATGCGACGATGCCAGCTCCTGGTTCGATTCCCGTCTGCTTCGCACACCGGTTACTCACGGCAATTCTTCTGCCGAGCATGTATTGCTTGCTGCACATGTCTCGCAGTAGGAAAAGCGAGTCGTGAGAGCGGCACAAAGCAAGTCCAAGTCGAGCGAGCTTCTACTCGAGAAGGCCGCCGCGCCTGTAGTCGCAGTGTACGCCTTCCAGATACATTCTGTCAGACGCTACGAGTGTTTGGTCTGCTGTTCCCGCGAAGACCGTCAACGGCAATGTAGATCAACCTGCGGCTTCGCACGTTCACTTATGCAAGAGGCAACAAGACGGCTTCCGTGTTGCGATTCCCGCAAAGAGAGGGCCGTGTGAACGTGCGTTCGACTGAAACTGAACATCGTAAGCGCAGGCCTTTACATGGGTCCGAGCGAGGTGGCTATCCTCGAACCCTTCGTGGTCACACGCGCGCTCTATCGCGGGGGGCAAAAGCCGCGTCTGCTCGAATTATAGCACGGACAATTTGCATGCACAATGCCGAGCAAGTTAGGAGCAGGTGGCAGAGCACGTGCTGTGGCCGCCATCCGCTCATCACGTCGTCAAGACAACCCCTCGATATGTTCCATCTGTCTCTACTCCGAACGGGGTAGACACGAACGGCCTTCGGGAGACTTTACGAACTCGACTTCAAAAGGAGGTAACTCGACGCATCGATTGTCCATTGATCACTGTTGTCGTAGCGAGACTGACGCCAGCACAATCCCTCGCAATGTACAGCAGCGACAAAGTGTGTACAGGAAACGTCGCTCCAGCTCGCTGAAGTCCCAAGTCGCACTTGGTGGTCGTCCACAGAGTTCAGAAGACTGACGAACTGCTAGCGAAGGACGTCTCCAGCCGTCTGCTTTGCAAGAAACGCACGACGCGACGACATGCGATGCGTTTACGCCGGACGCACCGGTCGACGACATGACGACCCCATCCTTCGAGTTGTCGAGCTAACAACACCTCATAGCTGTGCACGGCCAACACCCTAAAATTTGTTGAGCCACCACGTTCTCGACGCTGTTGGCAGTAGTGTATCACAAGTCATTCAGCAATTTGCCACGCTCTGACCAACTAGTTTGGCGTGACGCTCCCATCCCGAACAACAACAACAACAACAACAAGATCATGAAGGTGCTGCTGAGTGTCGCGGTGATTGCAGCGACCTTGTCGGCTGCTTCTGCTGCCAAAACTTGTGACCAGTGGGGCCAGACAAAGTCGGGCGACTACATTATCTACAACAACCTGTGGGGATCCAGCGCGGCTACGGAAGGCGGGAAGCAGTGTACCGGCCTTGATAGCGCTTCTGGTGACACCGTCGCGTGGCAAACGACGTGGACGTGGAATGGCGGAAACACGAGCGTCAAGTCTTACGCGAATGCCGCGCTGACTTTTGATGCCGTCCCTCTAACTGAGGTGACGTCCGTTCCGTCGTTGATTGAGTTCGAGGTCAAGTACAGCGGGACAGTCGTAGCCAATGTCGCCTACGACTTGTTTACCAGCTCGAAACCCGATGGCGAGAAGGAATTCGAGATCATGATTTGGCTGGCTGCCATTGGCGGTGCTGGCCCCATTTCGAGCACGGGCAAGCCGATCGATGAGGGGGTTGCGATCGAAGGCACGGACTGGAACGTCTTTAGTGGACCGAACGGAGAAATGATGGTGTACTCGTTCGTTGCGTCGACGCCGGGCAAGGGCTTTGATGGCGACCTCTTGGCGTTCTTTACGTACCTGGAAAAGAGTCAGAAGTTCGACATGAGCCAGTACCTGATCAAGGTGGAGTGTGGTACGGAGCCGTTCGTCGGCACAGACGTGACGCTGAAGGTGTCGAAGTACTCGGCTGCTGTTGAGACGGGCAAAGGCGGCTCGTCCGCACCTGCTGCTGCTGGGTCAAGCCTTGGCGACTCACCAGTGTCGCAGGAGGAGGAGACTGGGGCTAGCTCTGAGAAGGAAGTGGAGGAGGGTACGCCGGTGCCGGATGACAACGCCACGAAAGGGTCCCCGGAGGAAGAGGTGACTGGGCCCGGGCCGGAGGAAGAGGAAGAGACACCGGACTTGGGTGGCGGGTCGACTACAGGTGAAGAGGAACCGGCTGAGACACCGGACCCAGCGCTATCCCCGGCGGTTGAGACCCCTCCTGCGTCGAGCGAAGATCCCTCGTTGCCCGACACCCCGATCCTGAAAACCAAGTGCATCGTCCGCCGCGACTAAACGCAGCTCTTTCGTTCGAGTACGAACGACAGTCAATGGGCCCTTGCGGTCGCCCAGCGCTTTGTATCGTGCGCTTTTCATCACCAGTGGACGGACCCTCGTTTCGATGGCTGTTCAGTCACGACCGTAGAGTAGATGCAGAGGTCATTTACATGTAAAAGCTTTCCAATGTCCAGTGAGTGTCGTTCCACGCAGACCCTTTTCGACACTTACGTGCGTCATGCTCTACTTTCACACGGCAAAGACACGCACTGTAACGGCAGCTGCAGTTCTTTGCAAGGTGCAAAAGCTGCCTTCTAGTCGTAGCTGCTGCTGCTGCAGTGTAGATCCCTAAACACGCTCCTCCTCCTCTTCCTCTACTCAGCCTACGTGCTGCATCGAGCACAGCACAAACCGCGCAACGTCGAGCCTTTCATGCAGCACATGTCGATCTCGACGTGTTGCATAGATGTTCCCGCACCGTACGAAAGGAGCAAGCAGCGATCGCTGTGAAGGAAGCAATCAGCTGCGACATCTGACATCGGGTCGATGTCCTACACGTCTATCTACACACGACGCGGACGTCGGAATAGCCGCGTGAAGATCACTTGGCTTCGGTGGCAAACAGTCCAACGCTCAGCTTCTTCCTCCAAAGCTGCATCCAGTGACTTTCTGCATCAGATCGGCACCCGCTCTATCGGTGAAGCGCAAGTTCCGGATGATGCGCGACCAGGACGCGGCCGTGGGAGGTCTGACACATACATACATACATTCATTCATACATACATACATACATACATACATACATACATACATACATACATACATACATACATACATACATACATACATACATACATACATACACACTGACTTCATCTCGTCGCCGTTTCCCCTGCCTCCTCCATAGCCTTCTGCGCTGGAATTCTCTCTGACCTGCTGTTTTGCACCATGACGAGGCTTTCGGTGGCATTCGTGGTACGTGACCCTTTGTTGCAACTCGGTTAAATGAACACGCGAGGGAGTTCCAGCGTGTTGAAACAAAGCGTTTGTGCGCTGCGTTGTTTTTTCGTATCGCTTGCTTCTTTTCGTCGGCCTCGATAGAAACCGCTTCTATTGCCAACACACGAGGCTTTGCCATTCCATGTGCGCGGCACGACGCAGAAAGCCCTCGAAATGATACACTCGTGAAGGACGAGTCAGTCAGTCGTGTAGGGAGAAAAACCACCCGATATGCGTATTCTTTGTTCGTCTTTTCCCCCGTGTCGTCGAAAGGAAACCGGTTTCCACTGCGTGTATTTATTTTCGCATCTTTTCGTTGAGCTTTCGCCTCCAAAAGTGTGTGTTTCTACTGAATAGTATTCGCCAGACCGTTGTTTACGAGACAGAGAGAGAGAGAGAAATAGAGAGAGAGAAAAACGTCCGGTACTCGCGCGTGCGACTTGGATTTGTATAGGAAAGGCTGGGCGCTTGTGATTGTGCTTGGAACGCGCCTTTTTACCTGCTGGAGCTCAGTGCTTCCTATTGACAAAACAAGGAGTGGTGACGCGGGTGGCTCTCTCTCTCTCTCTCTCTCTCTTCTAGACAAGTGAGCGAGGGACGGCGTGACCGACGCGCGCACATACCACAACGCAAGCGCTCGACAGTTAGTTGTGCACCGCCTCGACGACGTTTTACCGAAGGACGCAATTAACCACTTTGGTCCTTGTATTCCAGAGGGCGCTCTATTCTGAGCATTTCTAAAGCCGCTTCCCCGTTTGTAGTCGTCCTCGTCATTGTCCTCGCTGAAGTGGGATTAGTATTATTTTTGTTTCCTCTTGGGAGAGTGGCCGCCACTTGGCATCTGAGCAAATATCCGGATATTCGGCACACACGTTGGTGCGCCCACGATGAACAGTGTGGTTTCGCCGCTGCGGATGAGTCTGACGCCGCGTCACGCGCCGACGGCCGCCACAGGACCGTCCAGTCACCACCAGCCGCGTCGCCAGCAGCCGCAGCAGCGCGGGCGGAGCTCTCGCGCTTCGGCGTCAAGTCAGGACGACGTGAAGACGTACCATTCGCTTGGGCCACGACCGGTGCTGCGGGGGTACGCGGGAGGGTACGCTGTGCCGCAGGAGGGTACACGTACCACACCGCTGCTGCAGACTGCGTCGCCTGCGTTTTCGCGGGACCGGAGCCACGAGGCGCACGGCAGGCGTCGGTCGGAGCTCAGGGCGAGGGAAGAGGAGCAGGCAGGACGGCCGGCGATGATCGCAGTGAGTCAGGACGATCTCCCAGCGGGTTACTTCACGCAGGAACGACGTCGTGGCGACAGGTCGGCAGACAGGTCAGCAGACAGATCGGCAGACAGATCGGCAGATAGATCGGCAAATAGGTCGCTGTCAAGAGACGTGCAGGTGCGTGGACACGGCAAGACGGCAGTTGTGTCGCATGGAAATTGCCGAGGCAGTCGAGCAGCTAGTGGAAGCACAGCGGGTGTACAGAGTCGCAGCAGCAGTGGCAGCAGTGCAAGTCGGGGTCGTGTTTCGAGCTCGAGCAGCTATCACGATGCGGGCGTGGATCGTCACGTGGACAATGCACGATGTGAGCCATCATTTGCACGTGCTGGAGCCCCTGCTGCTTACCGGCAGGTCGCTCCTGTTTACACGTCTGTACCGGTCCGGCCTGTAGTGAAGACGGTTGCCCGGACTGAAAAGCCGATAGCGTGGCGTGTGGCGATGGACCCCAAGTCAAAGAGGCCGTACTATTATCACCCGATTACCCGTGAGACGACGTGGAAGAAACCGGCTGAATTGGTTGCCGCTGAAACGCGTGAGAAGCGTCAGTTCTTTTCGGTCATGGAGAACAACATTCGGCTGAAGCTACGGGACGGCTACTATACGCGTGACAGTGAGGCATCCAACTCGAGCCACAGCACTCCGGACGCGGTTCACAAGCCACACGAGGTGTCCCCACACACCTCGTGCCGTTCGTCTGCAAGTACTTCAAGTACACGCAGCAGCTCGAGCTCATACACTGGTGGATCTGGTAGGTCGTTGCCTGGGTCCGCGCGGCAGCTTATTCTGAGTTCGACCAGGTCGCTGCCCGCGACTCCAGAAGGCATGGGTGTGCCATGTTTGGGCTCGGTCGAGACGCAGCCGCAACAAGAACCCGAGTCTGTAGCGCGGGACTCGGAAGATAGCCGCGACAGCATGAAACGCCCGTCCCTATTCAGAACGCTGTCGTCCTATGAGACGCCCGTCATGACGTCGTCTCGCAAAGGTGGCGATGTCGTGGACCTGGAAGAAGTCGGTCGCAATGCTTCCACATCTCTTGTTGCACCGTTGCCAATTGAGGAGCGTATGTGTCTAGCCACTCTGATGTCGCGGGCGTCAGATCTGGAGTCTTATGCCTGTGCTACTGGAGCGGTCAATGGATATGGCAGACCGTCACTGTCGGCTATATCCGGACGAGGCAGTTCGGCTTCAGTGCTGGTCAAAGCCCAGGCTTCTGGGGGCAAGGGTGCGTTTGCAAACAAGCTACGCGCTGTACGACGTCGTTCGAACAGCACGAACTCCATTTACTTGCGTATGGGTACAATGGACGCGCCTGATCAAGACGCCACGATTCAGTGCGTAGCAACTGTCTTGCGAGCGCACATGGTGGAAGCGCTGGAAGATCCGATTCGGCCGGACTCGCGTTTCGACGTGTTTGTCACGGCGCGCGACCGCCACCGCGTGTTGTCTCTTGCGGACGAATTGAGTACCGAAGCATCTTTATTTGTGGAAGCAGAGGAGGGTACTGCTAGGCCAGACGTTGTCCCTGCGCTGTCGGAGATCGCAACCTTTGTGAAGCACGTGTTTTCGCGTGCTCAGATGGAGTCAGAGTGCATTATAATGAGTCTTGTGTATGTCGAGCGTCTATTGAAGGCCACGAGTGGTTCGCTGCAGCTGCGCGGCAAGAATTGGCGACGGTTGGTGTTTTGCTCCATGGTCATGGCTTCGAAGGTCTGGGACGACTTGAGCATGACGAACGCTGACTTCTCCAAGATTTGGCCCGAGCTCTCGCTGAAGCTGATCAATGAGCTGGAGCTTGTGTACTTGAGTGCGGTGGAGTACAATGTTCGCGTGTCGGCTGCGTCTTACGCAAAGTATTATTTCCATTTGCGGTCCTTGTGTGCCACGATGGGTTTGCTGGAAGCCTTTGATGAGAGCGCGCCACTGAACTTGGACGGTGCCCGCAAGATGCAGGTGCTGTCGGAAGAATACCAGGAGCGGTCGAAGCTGATGCCGGTTCCACGCCGCCGTAGTGTGACCATCACGAGCACGTCAGCATCCGAAAGCAGGCAGACCGGTGGCAATGCGGGACGCGCTGATGTCGGTGGTGCATCGGCCAAGTCGACGAAAGCTTCGCCTGCCGCTAGCCTTGAGCAGCTCGTGCGCATGCAGTTACGCGTTGCTGGTGGCAGCTCGCTTCGGTCGTCAATGCACCGGTTGTCGACAGCGAAGCAGTGAGTGAAATGAGTGAACACTCCGAGCCACCAGCGTGCGATCGTGGAAGGCGGAGGCAAAGGAGCGTGGCGATGGAGGGAGTGTTGATGATGTGTTTTGTATGATTGAGTGAGTGTAGTGATTCGTGCAGTGCCTCGTAGCTGTTGAAGAACTTCTTGGAGAAGGCTTTGCATCGTCCAGCGACGACAACTCTGCGTGAGCTGGCATGCAGATGATAGAAACGAAGCAGGCGGCCTTAGATGGACAGAGAGAGAGAGGGAGAAAGAGAGAGAGAGAGCGATGTGAATGAGTGACGAAAGCTGGACGACGTTGTAAGTACCAGAATAAAAGTACGTGTGGAAATGCTATGGCATAGTGCGTCACGTAGCTTCGGTATCGTAGCTTTTTGCTCGTGTTTTGTTTGTTGCACGAACAAGATGATGTGGAAGCGTTGCTCCGACTTCGTGTTGTTGGGCCTTTCACTTCATTATGGCTTTTGCATTGATGATGATGATGATGAGTGTCACCGGTGTCGTTTGTGCACTTCGCAGGTACCGCCATAATCACATTGGACCATGAACTAGCAAACAGGTTCGTTCACACACTCAGTAATGTTTGCATGCGTTGCAGGTTTACCCACAACTGCAACGCTCGAAAAGTTGACTCTTGTTAGGCTTTCAGCAATGTTGATTCTGCTTGGACTTTCACGTGCAAGCACTGACCGATCGAGTCGACATCCTGCACAGGACATTCGACTGGCTGACATCGACAGTATCCGTACACGGTACGTGAGAAGAAGCAGCCTCGAGCACAACGCATCCGATGTTCAATCTCTCTGCTCTCGTATTGTGGCGCTCACACACATCGAGACTTGCAGATGTGGAGTCGTCGGAACAATCATGGGGAAAAATCGCTGGACTTGCTCACGGCCGTGTGGCGAGTCGATCAGGTTTTGCTCGTGAGGTCGGTACTGCCTTGCAACATCTTCTACAGCGAAAACGCGAGGCGGCCATCGTCATGGGCTTGCGTCGTTCGTGCTGGCATCGATGATATCTCGACAGAAGTGACGGCAAAAACAATGAGGCCAGTGACGCGATCATCGATGACTTTAGAGACTTGGTCGTGCATACAGCGTGCGAAGCGGCACAGGTCGACGTTGGCGGTGAAAAGAGAGAACAACAATTGCCCAACTGCTTGGAATCGCCGCCTTGTTGATCTTGGAACGAGAGAGGACAGAAGAAGTCGCACGCAGCTTATACGAGCTCAACTCCGGTGACGATGACTTGTATGGACTGAGCCAAGACTTTTCACCTGCAAACAGCGCAACACATTGCAAGTTACGACGCTCGAGTCAACGGCTCAACTTGAGTGGGGGAAACAATCATCCATCATAAATCACAAACAAACGTCAGCAACGGATCCACCACGTGCAAAAATGCTACCAGCTAGACAGAAGATAGTCACGTCGACAACCAGAGTGAAAGCTAGTTGCCGTTGCATTGACTTTCTTCCGAGCTTTCTCTACATCGAGATCATCGTCTTGTATTCGGACTTGACGCTGCCAGTATGAGAGCTACGGAAACTGGCATCCTGAGACCATCCGATGTAGTGTCGCTCAGTGCTTTTCTCACGAATACAGCGGCCTCTGCTCATGTTTCTGCTGATATTGAGGACTGTAACTTCCATTGCTAGCTTGCTGTGTATGTCCAGCAGCAATTCCGTTGGCGTTTCGAATCAGCAATGACGGGCCTCGCTTCCACGTTGCACGCATCGAGACACCATCAATTACTGGATACCGTTCTGCAAATGATGGTGTGCGCGGCGTCTTCAGTAGTGTTTGCAAGACTGCATCCCGCTGACCTGGACTCTCATGTAAGTAACGAAACTTCTTGAACACTTTCATGGCGTAACGAGCGTCAATGACTGGGTCATGATCCGCCTCTTGGATTTCGTGTCCAAGCAAGTACTTGGCTACATGTCGTAGGGAAAAGTAGCGATAGCGCACTACGCCATTTGTCATTTGCATCGGCAATCGAAACAGATCTGCGACATCGAATTCGCCCTTGTAGTCCTCAGGCTTCTGCAACATGAGCCATTCCAGATCCTTCTTGATCGACTGGCCCACGATGATACTTTCTACCGGCAAGATTGTCTTCAGCCGGGCAAGCGCCTCTTCCAAGTCAGGAGCATCTGCCAAGTTGCTGCCATTCACACCAGAAAACAACCGACAGCGTCAACCATGTCCATACACACGTGTGATCGATTTCGCAAAGTAGTTGACCCACCTCTCGGTGATACCCGTAAGCTGCGTGAGGTAGCTTACAATCGGCTTTGTAGGCTTGACATACTGGTCAAACACCACCTGTTCATCCTCGTCCACCACAGCAATTCGCGCAACATCTCGGTCGCTGTTTGCCAGCGTCAAGATATGACATTCAGCGTCGATACGAAAACAAGATACTGTCAACATCCATGCCCATCAAGTTCATGCAATGACCTGAACGCGTCAACTCACTCGTTGCCACTGCCAGTGGCCACACACTCGACGTCAATCGCAAAGAACTGCCCGACACCCAACCAAAAGCACCACCGCCACCACCACAACAACAGCACAGGAAGAGAGAAACAACCAACCAAACAAAAAAACAACACCGTCAGCCCACAACAACAACAACAGCAATAGCAATAGCAACTACAGCAATAGCTACAGCAATAGCTTTGCACAGCAAACAATAGCCAGCACAGTGTGCGTCTCGGGTACATGTCCACGCCAACCCGTACCGGTCCTTGAATGTCCCTCGTCAGCACTGGGAGAATCTCGCACCGCGACTCGCTGGTCGTTGCCTCGTCTCGTCGCTGGTGTCCCATCTGCTGTCCATACCTCGAGCCCCTCGTACCACAAGAGCTCAATGGCTCGTCGCCCGTCGCCGTCTCCAGGAGCTCCACGTGCTGAAACTGCTCGTACTGCGGGTGACGGCGCGGCGGACGGTCGTAACAGACGGTCCGTCCACCTGCGCCCGCGTCAAAAACCACAGGTCCGTATCCCGGAGGCAGCGGCGGCTGCTGCACGCGCTCGTGCGCGACGGACGGCCTTTCGTCACGACTCAATGGAGCGCCAGCGACCGCCACAGCGCTGTGCGCGAACGGACACGCGACGCCGTTGCGACAGCCAATGGCCGACGCAAAGAAGCGACAGGTGCGCGCGTCGAGCGGAGACGAGACGCGCTCGTGGGCGGCACTGCTGTCGGTAGTAGGAGGAGCAGTTGTTGTAGTAGTTGTTGGATTAAAAGTGGTACTGTGGTGGCAACTGCTGCGGGCGGCGCGCGCGTCGGGCGCTGCGGCAATGGGACAGTTGGGGTCGTGACGGAACGCGCACGAAGCGCCGCGGAAACAGCCGCGCGACGACTGGAAGAAGCGACAGGTGGCGCTGGGGCTGTGCTGCTGCATGGCGGCAGGCCGCGTCCGGAATGACGCGAGCGAGGAATAGCGCGAGGAATAGAGCGGGGAATAGAGCGGGGAATAGGGACGAGGATAGGGCGTCGCCGTGATCAAGAGGTGGATGGGGCAGACCGGAGTGGGCGGGTGGGTGGGTGGGTGGAATGGGTGATAGGGAGGAATACGGTGCGCTCTATTTCGCGTCGAGACGTGTGGGACGAGAAGGGACCACGACGCCGCCACGAACGACAGGAAAAAGGAAAAGAACAAATAGATACATTCCCTTTCTTACGAGTTGCGGCTTTCTCTATTGCGCGAGAGGATCTGCAGACAAAGTGGAGCCAGTTAGTTGCTGGAAAAAGCGGACAAAAAGTCGTTCGGACGCTCATCCCCTTTGTTGCACGGGATCAATTATGGACCGACCGCTAGACCACCGGCCGGTCAGTCTGTCGAGTCCAGTGAGACCGAAAGAGCTCTTTGGGTCACGCCACAGCTCAACACTTACTGCGCTTCGGCGACGCGGTCGGCAGTCAAAAGCCTCGCGGGTGCAACAGCCACTGTCACGTCAAGTTTATTCGACTACATGTACGTCGTGCACGAACAAATCGCTGAAACTCCGACGCGCGTGTTTTTTCGCGTGCGGAGCTATTGCGAACGTGTGGATCGGCACCGATCAGCAGCTGATGGCACGCGCTCGACCGCCACCGGTTGTGTCGGTCTGTGGGCATATGTGTTGTTGGTGTTGCAACACTTGTGGCTCTGCGCACACGTCTGCACTCAGTTGTCTCTGTGTGTCTCTCTCTCTCTCTCTCTCACTCTCGTCCGCGACGTCTCGCTCCATTGCGTCAAGTCCGGCGCTGTCGGTCGATCCAACACACTCTGTCATTCTAAAGTTCCATCTCCGCTGCAAAGCCTCGTGATGCACTCCCGTCCTCATCATCATCTCCTCCTCTTCACCTCATCATCATCACCAGGTCCTCTCGACTCGGCACGTCATTCCATTGCGTCACACACTTGCAATCATCCGCGCGAACGGCAGAGCTGCTGCTGCTGCTGTTGTTGCTACTGCTGCTGCACTTGTTACTGGTGCTGCGACGGACGCCGACTTGGCCACGGAAGCCGAAGCCTGCTTTGCTGCTGATGCCAGTGACGACAGACTCGAGGGCGTCACGTGGGACTTGATGGTGTGTGCAGGAGGCATCGCTGGTGAAGCCATTGCGTCGACAGCAGAGGTCGAAAACGGATACTCGATCGAAGCTGAAGCCGTCGACGATGGCACCACGTCGGCCTTTGTGTCGCTGCTGGTCTCGAGCCCCACGCGCACGAACCGGCCCTTGATACGCGGACGGTCGTCTGCCAGTTTCTTCCTACAGTCGTACTTGATGCTCTTCTTCCACGTGCGGTTCTTGCGCTTCTCGTGGAACTTTTGCAGCCGTAGCTTCCGTGCTGCTGGACTATACGCGCCAATCTTCTTTCCCAACGCACTTGACGATGGCGCAGTCGTCTCGATGTTCAACACGCTGAGTACCGGGTCCACGGACGAACTGACCGATAGCGAGGAGGTGCAGCTACTTGCAGCAGACCCTTGCACCTGCTGCGTCTGAGGCTCCTCCGATTTTGCAGGGGTCGACTTGGCTGTCTGAGAGCAAGAAGCAGCAGCAGCTTTAGTGTCCACGGCTGTCGACGTACGTCTGGTCAACGTATCTTCCTGCACATTCTCTGCTTCCTTCTCGACGACAAAGAGACCCACACGCTTCCTGCTTGAAGCGCTCGTTGGCGACGGGATCGTAAAGTTCATCGTGTCAAAGCTCATGAGGAGCTTCTCGGCGTCCTTGGCGTTCGTGCTCGACTCCAAGCGGATGTAGACGGGATCAACTACACGTGCAATCAATCAAGCAAGCAAGCAGCAAGCACATCCAACACGTGGCAAGGCACGAATGTGAGCACGCGTTCAGTAGAGCTCTCTCGCCAACCGATCAACTGTCCACTGCGCTACTGCCAACTTGCTCCCTCGCAAGCAGTAGACAGCAGACAGTCGTCAGCCGTTCGACTGCGTCAACTACAACAAGAGCGAGCAAACACGAGCAAGCAAACACGAACCAAAGGTCGACGCCATCTCGGCCGAATCTTCGAATTCCAAGCCACTGCCCCGCAAGAAGGACGGGTGGAAGCCAAAGTCCGTGCCGTCGTGGTGGTGGGGGTCCTCCTGAGCCAGCGCGTCCATGCTGAGCGTCAGGTCCATCTCGTTGTGGTCCACCCAGTCAATGTCCTGGTTCAAACTGTCGTCAAAGTCCATCGCGCGCGCGTAATAGTCGTCACTGGCACTCACTGCCACCGCTATATCTGCTCCCATGCCATCTCTTGTGCCATGCAGAGCAACGACGTCTCGGTCCTGCTGTACCTTGTAGCTGCCCTCCTCGTGGCGCACCTTCTGCTGCTTTGTCTTCTTCGTGTGTACGTCTCGATCGTCGCCACCTATTGCCGACGACTTGGACGGCTGCGACCGCTTATGACGGACAGTACTGAGCTTCTCGTGCGGCGACAGGCACAGGACGGACTTACCCTCTTCACTGGTCCTCGGCGACTTGATCATGTGCGCCAAAAGGTGTCTCTGTACTGGAGAAACAGAGCGACGGGATAGTGGAACAAAACGGCGGACTTGACGGACGGAACGGACGCGTCGTGACGTGACGCGTCGTGACGTGACGTTGTTATTACTGTGATGGGTGTCAAAGATATGGACTGGTCGGTCGTGCGTGGCGGGCGGGCGGGCGGGCGCGTGCGACGGTGTGTCACCCCCCTCGCTCCTTGTCGCGTTTGCAGAGGATTGCAAAATGGCAGGCAAACGGAGCTGCTCAGGGGCACGACGACGAAAAAAGCACATCGAAGGGAAGATAAATAAAACGGATATAAAAAGCAGGGACATGCCACGGGGTGTCGCGATTGGTGCATTCTCGGGCGTGAACAGCCTCGAGTACTTGATTGTTGGGCGCCTAAATGCGAGACGTCCGCGCGCGAGCCAATGAGCGGCCGGACACGGAAAAAGAGCGGGCGGCTGCAGACGGCCCTTATCCGTAATCCCCTTGCCGCTGCTGGGCACAAAAGGAGGTTCGCTACGATAAGGTCGGGCCCGCCGGGATCGAAAAGTATCTGGAGAGACAGACGACTACGCTTGCACGCTTTCTTAGCAGTGAGTGTTCAGGAAAACGCACGCGAGCCATCTGCGGTGGTCAAACCATCACAACGGAATTGGATGACGCCGTGTATTGCTATCTCCCTGTCCTCCGATGCGCTGGTTCACTGGGGCGAAATGTCCCGCTGACTATAACCAAAACAACAACAACAATTGCAGGACTTGCACGACTTGCACGACTTGCTGTACGTGTGCACCATATCAATGGACTGGATAATGGCCGGTGCCTGCCAGATCCTGACTGATCTGCAATGTTGAGCTCGTCGGTCAGGTCTTTGCGGGAAAGGTCCGGTCACGTGAAGAAAAGAGCCTTTGGTTGTCCAGCGCCCTGGCTTTCGCTGGCAGTCGAAGTCTGTTCGCACTGAATGTCAGTACGGGGAAGGCCTGAGGTGGCCGGTCTCGAGCTTGAGCTTGAGCTTGAGCAAAAGCGTTTCGAGCGGTGCACACAGCGCATTCTCTCTGTTCACCACTCGTCCTATCGTCGTGCTACCACGACGCCCTTGTGGAGGGAGACTGACTGACTAGTAACGCAATGGATCGTGGTGATGGCCGACGTCGATGCGGCCCTTTTGTTCCCGATGTTGGGGGGGCGTTCAATGCACAACTGTGCGAGTGGCCTTTCAACGCGTCTCACTTGCACTGCTCCAAAGGCAAGAAACAACGCGCCAAAGCCAATGCGCTCCACGGGCTTTTTCAACGTCTTGCGGTCACACTGTGTAGGGAAAGGCATGAAGAGGCAGCGTGTTTTCTCGAGCATACCACCTGACATTGCATCGCAGGCGATGACAAAGCCGCAGCCGCCGGCTGACTGAACTGGCTTTCACTTTGGCTGACGTCCACGGCCACAGTGCGCTGAAAAGCACACAGTTGATGGTCGACAGGAAGTGTGAGCCCATCAGACGACTCGCTGACGTAGCAACAGGTCGGCCGTGACATGGCCCTGTCAACAATGGCACTTGTTCGAGCGCAAACTTCCGTAAGCAGTTTTCGCAGTAGTGGCAGGCAGCGCATTCGCTGGCCATACATACCTAACGTCTGACGCTTCTGTCGTTGCACATCAGGCAGTCGGAGCTCGAATCAGACCACGCAGTCGGTGGTCGATCGAACGGGAGAGTTGTCTTGTCCAGCGACCTTCAGCACAAGTCTGCAGATTGAGCTGCAACAAGAGAGACGCGGCCACGAAGTCTCGGGATCCGTTCGATGGAAAGAGTACCGTCGTTCAGGTCGTGGAAGTTGTCGATCCCAGGAAAGGCGACAGCACGATAGGTATCCGCATAAGAGAGACTCTAGAGGTATCGAAATGTGCTCTCTGACAGCAAACTTCCGCGTGTTGCATCAATGAACGACTGAGTACTACTGCCTGCCCGCCATCGGCCGTTTCTTGCCGACTATGCCACCTCAGGGATAGACGCAGTGTGCGGCTGATGAGTGGCCCCATGCGAAAGCCTCACTACCTTCATGCGCGTAAGGGAATGTGGATGTCCACAGTTGTCGTTCACGACTGTGGGAAATGGACAGAGGAGAGAAAGCACAATCCCAATGACATCGACTCAGTTGCAAGTCGGGTCAGCATCAGCTATGCGCTGCATCGTCTCTCCTGCGATTCGATCACACGTCTCCAGGCAGCCAAGACACGCACATCTCACTCGTAGTCGGATGTCCTTATAGCTCGAGCTCGAGTGTACGCTCATGCAAAGTCTGCTCCGACGTGGTCGACAGCTGCTTGCGGCTTCGGTCCAAGGAGGTCACATGTATTCGAAACCAACACTTGACGGCTATTCGTATCGGGCAGTATCGATTTCGTTTCGACGTGGCGGTCGCACGCTGAATCAACTACATCAACCGTAGCTGATTCTCAACAACTCGTTCATTGATGTCACTCAGTAAGCCGGTGATCAAGTAGCAAGCCGTCCCTGCCGTCAGAAGCTGAAGTGAGTGATCGTCTGAGGAAGCAGCTACGGATACTAAGCGCCATGTCCTCGACATACAAAGAAACTGGAGTTTGTACTCCTACTTTCTCCAGACGCGGCATCGAACAAGTGCATTGCAGTCGATGCCACGCAGATCGTTGCGGTCTGGTTTCTTCTCTCAGCTATTCAGCACGAATGTGCCGTTCCTGTTTCGTGTCTAGCCGAAGAAGCGCAGTCAGTGAAGTGAACGAACGCAACTCGCAAAGGTAGGCTTCGATTGCTCAATTCCAGGACTTTGATCAAGCAGTTCAAATGTCACGTACACGTCGGCATACTCAATGACATCCCGTCGGTCCAACCAGTCACAGACAGAGAGACTCAGTAGCGCAGATTAGTAGCACTCACGCGAAACAAACGTCTCGTCGAAATCGCCACGACTGAGCACGCCAGGAGAAGAGGAAGAAATCTACAGCGTTATCTTGTCAAGTTATAGTGGCCGAAGACCAGTCGATGCATGTGTCAATGGAGCAAGCAAGTTGGGCATATGCCAGGACGTTGTGTTTGGCCTCGGCAACTTGGTCAAGCTGGCGCCCCTCCTCTCAAAACATTGCCGGCAACCTACAAGAGGATAACACATTCAGCACCGGGCTTCGACACGCGTGTTGACAGCTCGCGCACCATATACTATGCGACCGCCGTATCTGAAAACGAGTAGTGCTGCAATCCAGTGCACTTGGAGCTGGTGAGTGAGCGCGTGCCATGTCCTCGATGTACAGAGCATCACGGACGTGCGCCTTCCAACACAATATACCTATACTGCACTTATCTTGGCTGTGTCCTCGGATCAGGCGATGGCCACGCATTGACACCGAGTCCCACTCGAGGGCGATGGATTGTGCGGGAGGTATTCAAATGACTACGGTGCCGCGCACACAAAGACTGACATCAGGAAGAAGTCGCACATTTTGTCAGGATCCTAAACGCGATGGACTGACTTTGCAGACATCAACAATGACTTGAGGTCTACACCGTTCCGTATGAGCGCCAAGCTACTGCCGTCTACTACGATGTCAGTTGCGCGTTTTCTCGTCACGAGGACTGGCACGACGTGTCAGGTGATTCAATGCCAACATCGTCCGGTACGGTCGTACAATATGCGAGACATGCTGTTCCGAAATTGGGATGTCAAAAACCAATATCGAGAGATCGAATGGAGTCCAAGGAAACAAACAACGCACAACAACACATGTCAAGCGCAACTTTATGTAATGACGAAGGAATTTCCACCGAAGAGTATCTACCGTCGAGCTTGGGAAGAAATGAACAACTAGTCACCGCGTTTCCACGCTGCTTACTGCTGAGCTTCGCTTGTTGTAGAGATGAAAGACCGCCAACGCGATGCTCGCTCAGTTCTCGACCAGTTTGCATGGACACGACAGCGCATTCACATCTAAGCACGGAGACGACGGCGGCACGCGGAATGAGTCGGAGGCTTAAAGTCCTCGCCGCCTTCCTCCTCTGACGTTGGTGGCCCCGAAGTCATGCCTCCCAAGTCGTCTTTCAAACCTCCTCCCAAGCCTCCTCCCAAGCCGCCCAAGTCTGGCGTCGGGGTGGGCTCCAGACCAAGTCCTTCGTCCGGTCCACCACCCTCATATTCACTCGGCTTGCTGCCCTCCATCTCACTTAGTCCGCCGCCAAGTCCTTTCCCGCCAAGTCCACCTAGTCCGCTTCCAGCTGGATCACCACCCTCGAGTTCACTTGGATCACCTCCCTCGAGTTCACTTGGCTTGCTGCCCTCCATCTCACTTGGTCCGCCGCCAAGTCCAAGTCCGCCAAGTCCACCTAGTCCGCTTCCAGCTGATTCACCACCCTCGAGTTCACTTGGATCACCACCCTCGAGTTCACTTGGATCTCCACCCTCGAGTTCACTTGGCTTGCTGCCCTCCATCTCACTTAGTCCGCCGCCAAGTCCTTTTCCGCCAAGTCCACCTAGTCCGCTTCCAGCTGGATCACCACCCTCGAGTTCACTTGGATCACCTCCCTCGAGTTCACTTGGCTTGCTGCCCTCCATCTCACTTGTTTCGCCGCCAAGTCCAAGTCCGCCAAGTCCACCTAGTCCGCTTCCAGCTGGATCACCACCCTCGAGTTCACTTGGATCACCTCCCTCGAGTTCACTTGGCTTGCTGCCCTCCATCTCACTTGTTTCGCCGCCAAGTCCAAGTCCGCCAAGTCCACCTAGTCCGCTTCCAGCTGGATCACCACCCTCGAGTTCACTTGGATCACCTCCCTCGAGTTCACTTGGCTTGCTGCCCTCCATCTCACTTGTTTCGCCGCCAAGTCCAAGTCCGCCAAGTCCACCTAGTCCGCTTCCAGCTGGTTCACCACCCTCGGGTACACTTGGATCACCACCCCCGAGCCCACTTAGATCACCACCACCCCCGCCTCCACTTGGTAATCCAGAACCGCCTTCCACCTCTTCTTCCTCTTCCTCCTCTTCTTTCTCAGTTGCGGACCCCTCTTTACCCAGGTCGGGTAACCCAGTGATGGAGCTCAACGATGCATCCTTGTTGCTGCCCATCGACTCAAACAACGGAACAACACCCGTCTTTGACGGACCGGATAGGCTGTCTGGATTGCCCATTGACTTGGCAGAAGCTGCAGCCGCAGCAGCGATGATCAACGCAGCTGTAAGAAACACTTTCATGTCTGTGTACGCACTGAAAGTCCAGAAGAGCGCGCGTCGGTGCGTGTCAGTGGGTGTGTATTTGAAGACAAATTGTAAAATGGCAAAGGCAGTGTCCGAGGCGTTCCAGCACTTCAACCTATCGGTAGGAGCTCTTCCTCGACTGCTACTCGCCAGTGAGACTCGGCCGTCGTTCTCCAGCAACAGCTGATGTAATGGTCACGCGTCGTAGAGTCGGTACCGGACATTGAGAGACGACGTCACAACACCATCCAAAACGCATTCGTTGATCTCGTGGCTGGTTGGTACTTTGTGGTTGACGAGTTGTTGGACATGTGCACAAGTACCGACTTCTGGCCCACCTCACAGCACATCAAACCGCTGTCTGAATGTCCGGCAGTATACACATACATCTGAACATCAGAGGGTCGTGGCACTCCTCAATCGTGGACCATGTGCCCTCCTGCGTGGCTGCGTCTAAATTGAGAGGGGCAACTCGACAGTGCTGAAATTTCGCTGCTCGTGTCGGTTCCCAAGTCCGCCGTGTCGTTTTCCAAAGTTACAGATGTGCCGTTCTCGTCCGTCGTCGCCTATCCAGCCAAAGATGTTGGGCTGAGCTTTGCGCGACGAGCACACGCTCGTTTCTTCGTGCTCAAGCGACCTGCCGTCCACACACAATCGTGTGGCTCGGCCAAAATTCCGTCCATCGCATGATCTCTCGACATCGTCTCATTGCGTGCACACTCCCGTACAGATGTGCGGCTGAGAGGACAGTTGACGATACCTCTTTTGTTTTTCAGGGATACTGTTGTCCATTTGTTGCTATCCTTTGGAAACAACGGCGTCTCGATGTGGTCTTTTCGACTTCAGTTGCGCGCGCTGTGCGAACTGTATGGACATTGCCCCGAGACGTGTGGCTGAGTCGTATGTCGTTGCAGGCCCGGGACCAGTTTCGCGTCAGTCGTCGCGTCTCGCAATCGGACCGCATGTTCCTTAGATGGTCGAACAAAAAAGATGTATGGCGAACGTCGTCGAGGCGGTCGTTGCCTCCTTGCGACAGTCTCAATGGTTCAGCGTAAACGCCTCACAACGGCACTGTCAGCGAGAGCCACACAGAAGGAACGCAAATTGTTGCAAGTTGTGGCGCAGGCGCTCGACGTCTTTTTCTCATCGCTGCGTCGACGGGTTACTCACGACTACATCGAGACGACGGTCGAATTGAGGAGCACGTTCGTAGACGAACGATCGATGGCATGCGTGGGAACCACGAGCTGTAGCTGTTTGTAGCTGCTGTTCCATTCGCTCTCGTGTTTGACGGTAGTGATCGCAATTGGGCCACGACGATGGACACACGTGTGTGTGTGTGGGAGCTCTCGATCCGTTTGATCGGTTGTTGACCAGAAGTCGTAGCACGTACCTGTTTCGCCGACTGGCTGACTACCTGCCTCGTTCGTTCGTTCGTCAGAGTCGCTGGTCATTAGGCCCTTTACTTGTAGTGGACATGCGTTGCTCTGACGCCATCCTGCGGTGTAGTTGTGGGGACGCGCTGAAGAGCAGCCAAATGTACACACTCAGCGATCTCGCAAGATAAGACCTGCTACGGTATGTCTACTCTGCAGAGTTCCACAGACCCACTACGCGGACAGCTGCAGTTGACAAAGGTGAGTACAGATGTGGGCAAATCAGCTCCAGAGCGACCGGTCGGGTGACTGCAGTGTGTTCTGGCGTTATGCATCTAGTGGCGGTTATGGCAGCTACAGCGATAGGCTCCGCGACATCGACGACGATGAGTTCAGGAGACTAATCGGTCTCAGCTGATGATAGTGGCGATAGCACAGTCGATCTTACCGAAAAGTTGAGTCGAAGGGTAGCACAGAGTTGTTTCTGACCGTTGTCATGCCGTAGAAACTGCGTGGGTTCGCACGGGTAGATCAATGTCCCCTTCTTTCGGTGCTCGAACACATGTGTGTCGTCAAACTAGCGCTTGTGTGCGGTGATTCGTAAGGCATGGACCAAAGACGTGCACGTGTTGTATCACCAACACAGCATACTGGTTGTCGGCGATGCATGAGAATGGCGAGCGAAGACTGTCGAGTTACCACTATGTGTGTGTATTGCGATGTTGCGACATCAGTGACGTCGTTGGGGTTGCGGAGGAACTTCTTTTTGCCGCTACAGTACATCAACCACGTTATGCTGCACTGTTCGCATGCTTTTTGTCCTTCTCCTCTATCGACCAGCACGAGCTGCTACACGCTGAGGGATGAAAACGCTCGAGCCATCGACAGAGTGTACAGTATCGTAGTCCACATCGTTGAGACACGATCCACTCTGACAACGCTTTATGCGACATCCAGCACGAAGACGTCTCCAAGACACCGACGTGAACACGAAAGCATTCCATCATCACAACGTGCGAATGGACACACTACCATGTCAACAAGATCGTTTTGGTACATGGGCTTCGGCTTGTTTGCAAAGACGTTGTTCCTCTTTCCTGACCAGTTTGACGTCCACTTCTTTTTTCCTCGAAACGTATCCTCAGCCTGCTTTCGTGTCCATCTTTTGCGGACGTAGTGCGTTGATGTACGCTTGATTGGCCTCGTTTCCCTCGCACAGGTTGCGCAAAGCTACCAACGACCATTCTCGGATCATCGGGTTTGCTTCGTCGACGTTGCAATGGCTGAGAAACAGAGGCAAGTAGCCATTCTCCCGCACGAGATCTTGGTGCACAGTGTGACGAAAGCAGAGATTGCCAATGAGTCGAATCAAGCTGGACCTGTACCCGAGCGGCTCTCCCTGTGTTCGTGCTTGTGGCGTCGAGCCAGCAGCAGGATCAGACCTTGATGGTGGGTTCTGACGTCCAAGCTCCCAGACACGTTGTAGCTCTTGCAGCAGAGACATCAACAGTTTCTGAGAACTTGCAGCATCTAGCGCCGCCTGATTGATCGTTAGCTCTCCAAGCACATCGAGCAGCAGCGATTTTGCTTGGTTTTCCAGTTCAGCCCACACTTGCGTTCTCGTTTCGTCGGCTTCATCCGGCCAGTCGTCGTTGGTGGTGTCGATGACACCCATCCATGTACTTCCGACAAACTCAAACGTGTCTGCAGGAAGTCTGTGAGCACGCTTTTCGTCATGCTCGTGCATTGTCTCAGCAGCAATTGGCTTGGACTTCTGAGCAGCCCACATCGCGAACATTTGCAGCAGGATCAACTGCTCTGGGGTCACCCGAGACCACAGCTTGCTCAGCATGTGCGGTCCCACGGCGTTGTACAGATCCTTGACACGTCCGTCGTGGAAAAGCACGCCAAACAGCATACAGATCCACTCGAATGCTGGATCCTGGTCATCCATGTGCCGACCACTTGACAATAAAGCATCTGACTCTGCAGGCTTGACGATACAGCGATGCACAATCGTAGTCAACACGTTCCGGGCGCACACCTGTGTAAATCGAGGCACAACGTTAGCCATACGGTCTTAGCAACAAACTAGCCTGCTGTCGCTACTGCATCTACCAGATCGACGCGACGAGCAGCAACTTCCTCGACTTCAGGCGCAGTAGTGCAGTCAGAGTTGACACAGTTGAGGATCAGCGCAACCGCAAACGCTACAACTTTGCGATGCTCATGACACTCCACTAGTACTTTCTGTGCAATGGCAAAAGATACGTGAGTACAACGCAAAACCACGTGCTTTAGCTACTCGACATCAACACACCTGAAACACGTGCGGAAAGAACAGCTCCCATGCTTCTGCCTGGTTTCTTCTGCTCCCCGTGACACTGTTCACACAAAACTGGAGTGTGACCTGAAACAAAAGGACAGCGCAACTGCATGAAGAGCACACACATGCACATAATGTCAGTATCCATACAATCACTAGACTCGTCCGTTTCCACAACACTGCACACCCACTCCTTGCACTTCTCGTCTTCCACATCGATCCAGCAACAACACTGCAGCACCACGTCCCGTGCCTACATCACTCCATGCCATAGCACAACAAACACAATGGTGACTGTACAGCCCCGTATGCAACACACACACACAGACATCAACCAGGGAGCAGAACTACTTCATCCTACCAACCGAATCAGCCCCGCATCGTGGCAAGCACTCTGGTTGTCCCGACATGCAGCACAGGCGTTCCGCAAAAAGCGGAAAACTGCCGTCATCGAGTCGAGTTGACTCGCTACTCGGTCCACATCGTCCGCTTGAACCTTCAATATCACAACAGCTTTCTGCAAAGCATCTTCCGCTACTGCTGCTGCCCCTGCTGCGGTCGGATCGTGGCACGGGACGCGAAATGTATAACTCAGTCCATCATCATCGCCATCACCACCATCATCATCATCGTTGGCGTGAGTCATGGCTACATCTCGTCCCTCGATGCCGCTGTTCTCGTCTCGGCCTGCAGCCACAATGTCGGTCTGTAGCTGCTTCCTGTACCCATTGACGGCCTCGGCAGCTTGTACCCATAAGCTCGACGCAGTGATGGACTGGCTAGACAGGAACGCAACACGCAGTGGGAACAAGATACCACACGCACATACAAACGTCAAGACAAAACACACATTCTCAGGACGGACGAGCAACACGACGCGGCCCAGTTGCAGCAGGTCTCTTGTCGAGTCTCTGGACCACGTCAATAGAAAGCGCAGTACAGGGCATTGCGTGCAGCTACGTACCGGTAGACGGCGTCGTGGTGACAAGCGGCTGCCAGTGCGCGAAAGTCCATGTTGCGCGACTTTTTGTGTACGGTACGTAAGCAAGAGCGTGACGCGCGGGGGAAGAGTGATGGTCGCTCGCGTGAATCCACGCCACCGGTCACGTTCTGTCTACGGTGCGCCTATAGAAACGCGCCAGCGGGTTTCTATGCGTTTACGGACGCAAAGTACCGGTTTTTTTTCCTCGCCACAGCACACAAAATTCGAGCAGGTGAGTTGTCTTTTCCGATGCCTGTTTTCGTCAGGGGTAGGTCTGCGATGTGATTGGTGGATCGCGCGCGGCGGCCTGTAACGACGCCGTGGGCGATGCATAGTTTAAGCAAGACAATGACGACGCCTCCTTCGTCGACTTTCAAGCGACCTTGCTCGGGCCCCGCGTGGCAGCCGGTTGTGCATACAAAGCCCAAGACGATTGGCATGCAAACCTTCTCGAGCGACGAGGAGCCAGCGCAGCCAGCGAGTGGTCCAGAGGTGGGGGAAAAGCGCGACGGGGGGCGAGCGAAACAGCTTGGTTTCGATATGGTCACGGACGACGTCGCCCTGCCGTCTCGGAATTCTCCCCGAGCCGGGGAGATACAAACGGCAAGTGCGTTGGCAGAGCTGTACGTGCGCGTGGCAAACGTCATCTCTCCTGGTTGCATACAGGTGATCTTTTAACCTCGAGGTTCGTATACTGCACGCGAACCCTCCCCCGGCCCGCGCGCGAGCTCGTTCGTTCACTCACTCTCCTCGCCGCCCCCGTCGTTCATTTCGACTTTTCCAAGCTCCACACCACCACTTCCACCACAACTACTACCACTACCACTACCAGCAGCAGTCAGCACCACTTTTACTAGGACTATTACCAGCACAACCGCCTCGAGCTGTTCCAGTGCGTCGCCTCTCCCGTCAAAAAAGCCAGACCCCCCCACCACCAGCAGCGCCATGGCCCGTACCAAGCAGACCGCGCGCAAGTCCACCGGCGGCAAAGCCCCGCGCAAGCAGCTCGCGACCAAAGCCGCGCGCAAGTCGGCCCCGACCGCGGGCGGCGTGAAGAAGCCGCACCGCTACCGCCCGGGCACTGTCGCGCTGCGCGAGATCCGCAAGTACCAAAAGTCGACCGACCTGTTGATCCGCAAACTGCCGTTCCAGCGCCTCGTGCGCGAGATCGCGCAGGACTACAAGACGGACCTGCGGTTCCAGAGCACGGCCATCTTGGCGCTGCAAGAGGCGTCCGAGGCCTACCTCGTGGGCCTCTTTGAGGACACGAACCTGTGCGCGATCCACGCCAAGCGCGTCACGATCATGCCCAAGGACATTCAGCTCGCGCGGCGCATTCGCGGCGAGCGCACGTGATTCCGCGAACGGTCGCGGCGGCGGGCGTCCCGTCTGTGTGCAGCTGCGACGACGCGTGCGCGTCCCACTGCCCTTTGGTACACGGCCTCTTTTCGACGGATTTGGGCTCTTTGGGGCCGTCAGTGTGGGCGCTTTTTGGTGCCTTTTTAGCTGACGAGGGGGAAAAGAGCGGGCGAAAGAGAGGGGACGGGGGGGGGGTAGGTGAGCCGAGGGATGCGCGTGGACGGGTGTATGAGAGGAGGACGAGACGACGCCGTGTCGCGTCGGTCAGTAATTTAGCCTTAATGTTGCAGTACGAATACCGGTAACCGAGTTAAGGAAGATGGACACTTTTTGGTCGGCGCGCGTGTTTTTCTGTCGGTGCTGAGTGTGTGTGTGGTTGTCCTGGCCACGCCCGTGTTCCGTCTTGTGTCACAACTATCGCCCTTCTGACGATTGTCGCCGTCGCTGCAATGTGACGCTCTGTAACGCCCGGTCGTTCGCGCTGCAAAGCTTTTGAACGAGTCGTCGTCCGTTACTGCCCGTTACCGAGCAGACTCGCGCGACCTCCAACAGCCGCAGAGCCATTGCAGAGGCAATCGAGACGCGGCACCTGTGTCAGCGGTTGGGTGTGCATTCAATACAGCGGTGTTCCGTCTCGGTGTCCTTTTCTCCTTTTCTCGTCGAGTAGCTGCGTGAAGCATCTGCTCCTGACACCGATCCCGATCTGCTTCCTCAGCACGCGAGTCGGTCGTTTAGACCCACCTACGAACGCCATCTCGTCCGCCACACGCCACTGCGGCCCATGCCGACTTCTACTCGCCACTACTGTTGAATGGACACAGCCAAGTTGCCCCATTTCAATCGATCTGGCAATGTATTGATCGACGTATATCGGTCAAGTCGGGTGTATTCGAGATGGCTACAGCGTGCTGTCGCACCGGCTCTCGACCGCACATGGGTACGACACGACCTGATCGGAAAAGACCCAAAAAAAAACCCTTCACAGAGGGACCCGCCCCGAAAAGCCCATAATTGATATCCCACGAATGAACACGAACGTCAAACGTCTGCGCAAAGAGCTCCAGGAGCTCCGGAAGCACCCGGAGGAGGACATGGTGCTGTACCCGGAAGAAGAGACGATCATGCGGTGGAAGGCGTTCATCCGCGGGCCCAAAGACACGCCGTTCGAAGACCGGTGCTACGAACTGGCGATCCACACCACGTCGCTGTACCCCATGGAACCGCCCAAGATGAAGTTTCTCACGCGAGTTTTTCACCCCAATGTGCATTTCAAGGTACGGCCAGTCAAGTGCATTGGCTGCATAGCTGTGGGGGACTTGCTACCTGCCTGTCAGTCGCCAGTGCACCGGTTGCTGCTCACGACGTCGTTGTGGGTCTGTGTGTGTTTTTGGTCCAGGACGGCAGCATCTGCCTCGATATCCTCAAGCGCGAGTGGTCCCCCGCGTGGACGTTGCGGGTGCGCTGGTGCTTTGTTGTATGGATGATGAAGACGACGGGGTGTGGAGGTGTGGAGGTGTGGGGGTTCTGACTGGTTGGGGGTACCTTTGTCTTCCAGGCGGCGTGCTTGGCCGTGATCTCGTTGTTGTCGGACCCTGCAGCCGACTCGCCGCTGAACTGCGACGCCGGTGCGGATCTCAAGTGGATCACTTGCATGACCTTCGATTGATGACTTGAGATGGATGTGTGTTGATGGCCGTGCAGGAAACATGATTCGTGCGGGCGATATGCTGGCGTACAACACGATGGCCGAGATGTACAAGAAAGAGTTTGGTCTGCTGGAGCTCCCGGCGGACCCGTACTAGAGCGAAGTAGTCTGTAGAGTAAAGTTTTGCATGAACCACTTGTAGTTGGGCGGCAGCACATGGAAAAGTCACGAACGGGAGGTTTTGTGCCATTTGCTTTGTTACGCGTCAACAGTCTCTTCGTTCTGTACGCGATCCTCCTCAGCTGGTACGTCTGGTACGTCCCGAGCTACCAAGTCGCCGTAGTAAGCTGTCACGACCTTCCGCTGCTGGTTCAGGAATATGTTTTCACACTCGACGGGCTCACCGGGTGTCAACGCCTCCAGGACTGCCATCGGTGTACCCCGCGGGAGGTAATAGGCGATATTCTTCGACACTTTCCGTACCTTGGCAAAGAGGTCCAGCCCAGATACGCCCTTCACGAGCATATCGTTCAAGCTGAAACACGTCCGACTGTAGTCCACGCCACCCCAAGGAGGAGACAAGAAGACGACGTCGGCTCGAAGACTGGGCAAAAGATCGATCGAGTTGCCCACAATCCACTCGATCTTATCTGCCACGCCGTAGATAGCAGCATTGTGCTTCGCCATGCGGATCTTCACCGGGTCAATATCGATTGCAATAACCTGCTTGCAAGTCATCGCTAGCTGAATCACGTTTCCGCCGCAGCCAGCAAAGGGGTCAAGCACGACGTCGCAGCTCAGACGCATTGCAATGTGCTCAGCAATGGCTTGAGGGGTGACCTACAGAAACATGCGTGAGCCCCAATACCTTATCGCTTGGCAGCACGCCAAACACGCACCGAAAACCAGCTTTCATGGTCAAGCTGAATGCCGTCCTCAAACTTTTCGAAGAGAGTGTGTCTTCGCATGTAAAACTTCAAGACGTCTTTCGCAACTACATACAGCACAGCCACACGAGAAATCTCGCAGAGTCAGCGAAGTTACGCCTGTCACTCGACTCTCGATTCTGCACACGTACCAGGATATTTTTTCTTCTTTTTCGACACACGTTTCTTTTTGTGCGCGACATCAGAAACACTCGACCCGTCCTTCCTCGCTTGTGCCTCAGCAACCACCTCGACTTGATCGACAACCTGCTCGACAACTTCTCCATCTGAACCGTACACGACGCGCACTTTGTCCGCAACTGCCGTCCCTGTTCTCATCGTTTTTCCGCCACCAAGTGCTTGTACCTCGTCTTCCTCTACAGCAGCAACCACAGTATCTTCAACAGCAGCAGTAGCAGTAGCAGCAGCAGTAGCAGTAGCAGCAGTAGCAGTAGCAGTAGCAGCAGTAGCAGTAGCAGTAGCAGCAGCAGTAGCAGTAGCAGCAGCAGTAGCAGCAGTAGTAGCATTCACCTGTCCCTTGCTCTCTTCCATGCTCTCATCGCACTCACCACCCATCTCCTCCTCTTCGGCTTCCATCTCACCCACTGCTACCTTATCGACCACATCTTCTGCCTCCTTTGTGTCCAACAATCTCTTGCGCTTTCTCGACGTCGCACTCCTCGACCCACTGCCAAAAGTCATGGGCAGACTTCCTTCCAGTCCAGCTGCTTTCATCTCCTGCTCCAGCTGAGACTTTGCAGCTTCGTAGAGCTCCTCACACTCGTCTCGTACATTCTCCTTGTTCTTGCAAAGTGCCACGTCCTGTGTCACACGTCGGCATCTGTTTTTCTTGCCTTGTGCAGACTACAAACGACGCACGAGAAGCATAAAAATACCGTCATCAGTTAGCTGTGTATTCATAGATGCAGTTGAGATACGTTGCGCGTCGCTGTCGAGCTTCCTACCCTGTTAACTCCGTGGCTTTGTAGCTGCACTTCCGTCGTCACGAGCGCCATGCGTTTGGTTGTGCACGTGGAAACTCGTCGGTATTTTGATTGGACCATAATCGCAGTGTTATTGTCCAATCCGATTGCTCAATTCAAGTTGAAGTGCGTGCAGGCGCGCGATCAAAGCGTTGGCGTAGCGAAAAAAAGCGATTCGATCGGACGCTTTTTTTCGAATACAGATAAGCATAGCAGCAAAACGCTGTAACTTTTTTCGGTATAGTCGTCTTCCAGCATTACAGCACGTCACGATCGTGCAGAATGCACATGTGCGCGTTGCAACGCCTCTCTTGTACTTGGGATGGATTTGAAGCGCATCCTGGAAAACAGACATGCGGCACATGAACACGTCTTTGTCGAGTCCGATCTTCGTGACGCTTCGCTCCATTTCCGGTGTAAATTAGAGCATAGAGTTCATATAGCACGAAACAACTTCTCGCTTGCAGCTGGAAAGATAGCAATGTAAACGCGAAGCTTTTGCTGGCAACTGTGCAACAAGATGCAGCTGCATGTCTTGGCTCATTTCTGAACGCGGCGAATCGACTCATGTGCGACGCCGGAGCGTATGTGCCAATGCCCAACTGATTTGTAAACAGCTAACTGCAATATGTACAAAGCCACTTTCACAATGACATTAGACGAAGACGGTACCTTGCAGAATATGCAGCGACGAGGTTCTTGTCCATAGCTTGCGAGCACATCTGCCAAAAAAGGACACACTTGTAACAGCGGTCGAATTTCTGGCGGTGAGATTCTTTGTCGATCGATGTACGTTTGAGCTGTGTGATTCTACTACAGCGTATACTTACCAAAGGTTTGTGATACTCTTGCCGTAAACATCGCTCTGAATATAGGAACTTGCGAAAGGAGAGGATACTGTTTGTACAGGACAAGGCCACATCATTAACGAAAATGCGGAAAAGATGCAGAATAGAGTCTACTATTGCACGGTGTAGCTTTGGCTGTAGCTTGCACGAATCTTGAAAGGACTCGAACCAGAGCTTTCCGCATTGTTGTTGTTCGTCTTGGCATGCCGCGGAAGTACAAACAAGTAAGAACTTGTATTCAGTGCTGAATACTCCGATAGCACGGACTCTATACAATCGGTGCTGTCAGCTGTGTGTGGGAAGAGAAGCCGTGGCTGCTGATACGGTCGACACGAAAAGTTTGTCATAAATCGCGTGCATCACCTTGTGTCTTGCGGCAGTAAAAAGCGCTTGAGCAGGCAACGTCGCGTCGGAAATATGGTCACTATGGGTATCACATGTACAAACGTTGAGACTGTTTTCCATAAGTCATCACACCCACACGCGCAGGTGCCCTTTATCACGAAGTTGGACGATCTCAATCGACCAGCAGCCAGTAAGTCTCCTCGTACGATCAGCCGTTTTTGCCGCAACAAAGTAGCGTGAGCACCGAATGCTTGTATTCGTTTCTTGCAACTCGTGAGCATTGGAGATAGATAATCACTTGCGCGGGTAAGCAACATCCTTCCTACAGCCGTGATGATGCTGTCGGCGCTGATGCGAAAGCTCCAATGTTGGTCGCGGGTGTGGTATAGATCAGTGTCATGGCAAACCTACAACAAGCGGGACGGTAGGATAGCCGCGTGTCTGAGCTTCCAGTAGATGCAGCTTATCCAGCTAGCGATACTATCCACCATATCCACCGGGATCCAAAAATATCGGCTGAATGCTCCGTGTCACGAGTCCTTAGGTCTGACTGGTTTCCACGGACTGGTACAAATTCACTTCACCACAGACTCGCGACAACGTCGGACGAGCTCTGTCAACACATCAGATGTGATCATCGCCACAGCGCCTACCACCCTAATTACAACAAACAGAGTTGACACTTTCGTAGTGTCTTGCAACAGCCATCGGAATGAGGTGCGAACCACCCTTACGTCGTCCCAGCTTGAATAAGGTTCAGCGAACAGCGATGAGAACAGCCAGTTGGGCACACCGTCTCGAGTGCAAACCATTCGGTCAGATGGGCCAAGTGACCACCATGTGCACACACTGGACACCATACATAGAGACCTCGGACGGGTAGTTGACTATTGAAACAAAAGAGATGCGTTAGACGATATACACCACCTGCGCCAAATATTCAGGCACAACAAACGTACCAGATCGAGCACAACGTAGCAGCATTACTGCAGCCTGAACACAAGGCAGCTGGCACACCTCGTTCGCTCGGACCGGTTGACTCGAGAGGTTTCGAGCATCTGGCGCAATTGAAGTACACGCTTGTGGATTTCTACAGATGCAAACACAGGTACACTTGTCAACATCCACGCAGCATTCTTCAGCCAGCGGCGGAGAATCATCCAACGTCACCCTCTGTCAACATACCATGTTCATTTGCCGAATTGATTGGTCCGAGCAATTCGCAACTAACTCGTTCGCTGTCGTGTAGATCTGTAGTTGGTGCAGGAGATCAATGTAGTGCATGTAAACATGCTGCAACCACGACTTCCCCATCACCTTCTCGACATTTGTCACTTGCCCCACAACAACGATAACAGCAACGCATGTCTGCAGGTCACCGATCTCCGTGTAGTACTCGAGCAGTTCTTTCAGTACGCCATCACGTAGATGACCCAAGTCACCCATCACAGCGCTCCCGTTCATTATCGTCGACGAGTTGCCACGCACGTTTGCTATTCCCGGTGCACCGTTACGATCGCCTCCCTCACGCCCACTTTCGTTACCAATTCTCCCTCGAGGGTCATACGGATACGGATCGAATCCTTCCATAGCTTGCGGGTTGACGTGGTCAAGTTGCTCGAGCAGCATGGTTGTCTCGCTTGGGTTGTTGCGGTTATAATTTGCGTGGGCGTACGCCTCATCTTCGGATTCGTCCGTTGGTCCACCTTCTTGCCGCACAAACTGATCCATCCGGTCATCGTCATCGCTGGTACTTGACGACAGGTCCTGTTTGTCTTCGTTAAGCATTGACATGCCTACTTGATCCCGGTGACTGAAATCGTCAAGGTAGGGTTTACTGCTGTCTAGTTTTCCATTGCATCTTGCCTTCTTTCTCACGTCGGCTTCCTCGTTTGTGTAAAGGACCTCGAGAATACGCCACATCTGGCACAAGTGTGCATTTCCTGTGACAAAGGCCGCCAAAGCATTATGCGCGCACATTTCCGCAAAGCTTGCACCGGTCTTTGCTGCTACCACTTGATCTCCGACACTCCCGATTCCATCTGAGCCATTGTAAACGTCCATGCCGGTACTTCCTCGTTCAGAGAAGAGTAGGTAGTGTTTGGCTAGAAAGCGGAACACGTGCTCATCAAATCCAAACGACTCTTTCAGGTGCTGCCCTTGTTCAAACTGAGCGCGCATTGCTTCCACTTCTTTACCAGCTTGCACGTACTCACTTTCATCGCCAAGAAATATACTCTCAAGCTGACTGGCGTTGTTGACATTTTGCATCGTCACAAGAGCGACGAGAGCTCGAGGTACAGTTGAGCTAGACATCATAGGAGTGACGGGTGATGCGGACGCCAACGAAACTGACGCGCTCGAAACAGGTACGAAATTCCCTTCTGGTAAAGTGCTTGATCCAACCTCACCAGTGTTGTTGCCCTGTGCACTCAGCGTACTTGACTGAGAGGTAAAGCCTGTGTTCCTTGCAATGCCAGCAGAACCCACTCCACTTGCCATATTGAGGCTACTACTCCCCCCGGCACACTTGAGACTACCTGTCGATAAAGGCGCGGTAGATAACACACCTAGGTTTGTGCAGCTCCCGCCGGATCGGTTCAACACTTTCGGTGGTAAAGGCGGTTGCTGCGAACCTGCTCCAAATGACCATGAGGTCGTGCGTCCAGACGACTGGTCCTGCATTGCAACTGCGCCAGTATCTTCTGGACTGGTCGAGCTGCCTTGGAAAGGACTGAGCGACATTGTCAATGGACCGGTACCTAGTTTCCGATCCTCGCTTCGAGGACAAAGGGGTGGAGAGGCAGACGACACCCCTGCAACCGTAAAGAGTGAGCTGCCAAGACCGGAATGACGGTGAATCTTCAGCGATGCACACGACCGGTCTGTAGGGAGCAAGACACACACACAACAAGTAATAGTGAGCTCCAAGAAACACGCATAGTCTGAAGTAGCAAATACGACAGTCACGTACCAATATAGTCATGCGAAAACGCAACTTGGCCTTTCGAGTTAAGGGCTAATGCCGTCGTCGGCAGCGATTGGTGCAGCTTGAACGAGTCCGCAAGAGAATGGAGCTTCAGTGTACCGTCTTTGGAACATGCTAGCATGTGCTGCCAGTAGTCATGGCCTTCCCAGTCTCCTGGAATTTCAGGCTGACTAAAATTTGACGACACAGGTGTGTCCATCCATGAGATACCCGACGCAATGTCCGAGTGGCCTTTCATAGACGCCACAGGAATAAACGGTCTCTTCGTGTCCCACACATGAATGCTGTTGTCCATGAGCGAAGCACTAGTGGCGATATGCATCACGCCGGCTGGTCGCCAAGCTACACGGCCGACGCTAGCAATTGTCTGGATCGTTTGCTTCGGCTGTCGAACATCCGCCAGCTCCCAGATCTTTACATAGCGGTCACGTCCACCGGAGGCTAGTACGTTCGCATTGGTCGGATGCCAGTCGACGGTCAATACTAAGCCCTTGTGAGCCGTAAACTTGAGCTCGGGCTGTGCGTTCTTGCGCATATCCCAGACCTGCACGATGCCATTTTCAAACGCAGCAGCGAACTTGTTGGGGTGAAACGGGCTCGCACGTACGTCACGGACGCTTTCGGACTTTGGCTGGTACGTCGACACGACTTTGCCTCCTCGTTTGTCCTGCACAAGTCCACAACAGTGCAAATCCACTACGTCAACAGGGCTCTACAAAAAAACGATACCTGCAACATGCACAAGCAAATCCGTACCCAAAGCTTCACAGTGCCGTCTTGTGAACCACTGATAAGCACATTCCAGTCCGTCGTGTGCCAGCAAATGCGGTTCACTGCACGTCGATGTCCGTTCAACACACGCTCTATTCATCAAAAGCAACAACATCACCGCCACGCCAAGCATCCCCCATCAACTTTTGTCAGCTCGTTTCTACACGTTCCATGCCTTCCGTCCCTCCCTCACACCACCCACCTTGAACGTGCTTGTACCCATCTCGCTCCAAGTTCCAGATCCCAACAGCACCGTTCGTTGCGGCAGTGGCCAATAAATAGGCCGAATCTAGTCACACATGACAGCCCAACATTAGTCATTTACATGTCCGTACAACAGAATGAGCGACAAATGCACCCGAAACGTGTTCCATTTGCCAGCGGTAGAACAGAAAGTATCGATCGTTTTCGTACGTGGATGCCAGCGAATGTCGTTGGTGCTAAAATTGAGACTTGGCTTGCCCACGACACGCAGATTGCGCTTCTCCGTAAAGCCCGAAGCTTCAAGAGCCACAATTTTGAGCACTATGGGAGCACACACACAAAAACGCAGCCAGTATGTAAGTAGCAGAAAAGAAGAAGTAGCAGCAGCAGCAGCAGTTGCGGCACAGACCGAGCGATCAGCCAAACAACAGACAGATAGACACACAAACAAACAAACTGACGGACTGACCATCTCGACCACCCACAGCAATCAGACGGTTGTTTGGCGACGTGGACAGGGCGTTCAAAGGCCCGTTGAAGTCCATCGAAGCGCGCACGCTTGACGCCATGCCTGCGGATACTTTGTGAGTCGCGTGTTGCGTGTTTTGACCAATCCGAGCGCAGGAGATCAATCTCGATGCCGATTGGTGCAAATTTCATGGTCGCGCGAGGTGGCGCGGGCCATGCGTGAGTAATTCGTGTTTACTGAACAGAGACGGAACGAAAACGGCTTACTTCAGAGCGGCAGCTGCGGCGGCGACTGCTACCACTTTTGACGACCAACTGACTCACTGACTGACCAACTGACTGGATCCGCGCGTCCGGCTGGTGAACCCATCTGTGTCCATTACTGTCCATAGCTTCTTCCAAAAGAGATGGAAGAGCCTTTATAGCCAGCGACGAACCGCTCTACTGACGATGTGGCTGCGGCACCACACTCGCCTGGAGGAACAGTGATCCAGAGCAACTGCAAGCACCAGAGCACTCGCTGCAACAGAACCAAACGCTACGAAAACAGCGGCGAATAAATATATTGACGCGCCGCTACTCGACCGACCACCCCCACCCTCCACAACATCCGCCATCAAAAAACAAAGACGAGCTTTGTGACTCGGACGCCGATTCTCGTCGGAACCACATACTTTCTGCCATCGAAAGGCAGCTCCTCTTTCCACTCTCTCTTCTCATCATCATCATCATCATCATCATCGTCTCGTCCTCGTCCTCGTCATCGTCTCGTGCGCTCCATCTCTGTCCACCCGCCCACCCATCCACCGCTATTCATGTCGATACGTCTATCCCCACAACCACACAACACACGCACACGCACATCCGCTCGCCACAACATGGCTACCTACGCGCTCACGCCGAGACAGAACGCGCAAGCACCGCCATCTGCTCCTGCAGTCTCGACTCCATCTGCGCGTGGGCGCGTTCAGCTGCCTCCTTGTCCTTGTTGAGCTTTGTCTGCCACTTTTCAATGCTCTCGAGCTTCTGGATCACGAGCCGCTGCATCAAAATCAGCACATTCTCCGCCGCGTGTAGATTGCGCATCCCTTCGATCGAGAGCGCACTATGGGGGTCGTAATGGGTCCGTGTACGCCGAGCAAAGTCAGACACCGGCTGGGGGAATTTAGGCGGTCGCACGTGCGTCAGCTCGGACGCAAACGACTCGTACTTGCGACGAGCTTCTGGCTGCACCGTGTTACACGCTTGTTCAATCAACTGGCCCGCTTCGACAGCCAATGGGTACGAGCTGACGGCAAACTCGCGGATACCGCCAGAGTAATTCGGCGACACTACCGCAGCAAGCGCTACACGCAGTAGATGCAGCGCTTTGCGGTACATGGCTTCGATGTGATCAGCCTGTTTCTTGACACTTGTCACTGCCTTAATCTCGCTCGAGAAACTCGCAATGCGCGCGTGTAGGTCCAATACAGCCGGCATGTCGACGGCCTGAAACAGATTGTTCAGGATGTCCTCTTTTTCTCGCTCCAGCATGAGCAGCTCTTCCTGTGCGTCTTCCCATCCAGAACTCAGCAACAGAGTCGGCACGGGGCCACTGCTCTCGCTGCCGCTGACATCCCGCATGTCGTCCAAGAGACTGCGTCCCGTGGCGCTCACCCTCGAGATGTTGCTGTTCGTATTGACAAAGTGGCTGGCCGACGCCGCAAACAAGTTGCTGCCCGTGCCGTGCACGTTGCTCACGTTCACAACCGCTTTGCCATTCTGCGTGATCGTGCCGAGCGTCGTCGCCGACAGGGCCGTGCTCTGCCGCTCGAGGCGCTGCAGTTCTTCGTCCACGAGCACCGACTCGCTCAGCTTGGCGCACAGCTTCGACTTGAGCTTGGCCATCTTGGCTGCTTTGTTGATCGTAAACACGCGGCGAAAGCCGCCGCGTTCTTGCCGCTCCATCTTGTCCAGCAGCTCCTTCTGCGCGTGGATCATCTGCGCCGAGCTCTTTTTCACCTGGCGCAGCTCTTGTTTGACCTGGTGCGCGCTCACGGCGTCCGAGGCCGCAGCCACTTCATTGTCCATCTGCGACGCGCGCACAATGCGCTCGATCGCGTGGTTCACCTGCTCGTACTTCTGCAGCAAGCGGCGGTCGAGCACGACAGCGCTCGAGAGCGTGGGCGGCAGCGACGACCGCAAGTGGGTCGGGTCGGTCGTGCCCGCGCGTCGCCGGCCGCCCACGCGCTCACTCGCGACGCGGCCCGCGCCGGCCGACGCACACTGCGCCCGGTTGGCGGGCGAGGGGTGACACTGCATAACGCCCACTGTCGTGCGCCGGTCCGTCGCACTGCGCGGCAGGCCGTCGACGAGGCCGCGGGCGCTCCGGCTCTTGACGGCCGGCGACGCGTGTAGCGCGCGACTGCTGTTGCTGCGGTGGCTCGACAGCGACGCGGCAGCGGCAGCGCTCGCGGCGTCCTTGTCCGGGGTCATGACGCGCGCTTGGTCGTCCCTCTCGCCGTCGTCGGTCGCGGGCCGCGTGCCCATCGCTGCGGCACACGAGGGAGAGAGAGAGAGAGAGAGAGAGAGAGAGAATACGAGAGTGAGGGAGGGAGGGAGGGAGCAAGTAGGGAGAGAGAGAGAGAGAGAGAGGGGGCGCGCACGAGCGCGACTGCGACTGCTGCTGCTTCGGGCCGACGGTGGCGTACCTCGAAGAAACAGAAACTGGGACTGTGTGTGCGCTACGTAATCGCGTGGGCGAGTGGGTGACTCGCTCTTTGGGCTTCGTGTTTGTTTTGTATGGAGGTTTGTATCGAGGGGGCGGGGAGAACAGACGGACGGACGGACGGACGGACGGTCTGACTTTTTGTGTGTTTTGTGTCTTTTGTGTGTCTGTCAGTGGCTGTCTGTGTCTGTCTGTCTGTCTGTTTGTTTGGGGAAAGGTCGATAAGGGATGTGGGTGGGTGGGTGGGTCGTGCGATGGTAGTGGATGAGTGTGCGTGTTAGTGTTTATAGAGGGGGAGACGGGTGTGTGTGTTTGTGCGTTTGTGTGTTTGTGTGTTTGTGTGACTTTTTGTTGCGTGTGTGGCTTTCGACGACAGGTCCGTGCGCCTCTTTGATCAGGGCTAGGGCATGCGCGCACACACACACACACAGTCGCTCGCCCGCCCGCCCCCTCTCCTGTCGGCGCGTTGGACGACAAGAGCGGAAACAGTTTCGACGAGACGGTCGCAGAAGTAGCAGTAACTGCACAGTTGGCGCCACAGTGGTGACGACAGTGACGACTGCTGCGGCAGTAGCGTCGACGCCGCCCTTTGCGATGCCATTCCGTTTGCCTTTTGAGCGAGTGATTGCGGTTTGGGACGAACACTGAGGGGACATTACGACTGCGACTGCGACTGCTACTGCTATTGCTACTGCTATTGTTGTTGTTGTCGTTGTGTGTTTGTGTCGGTTGGTTGTTGTGTCGGTAGTTTGTTTGGTGCACAGTGAGTGGCTCGCAGTGCGTCGCGTAAGATATCGACGCCGCCGTCCCCCCCCTCCTCCCCCGACAGTGCCGTCTGCTTTGCTTCGTGTGCTTCGCTGCCCGTAGCTGACAATCGCACGAGCTCGTCACGGCAAGAGGAGGGCGGACGGCCGGCCAGCCGGAACCTGCACGGCGACGGTCGCTTTCGATCATGTGTCAACCAGTCAACCGACCGCCCGACTGACTGACTGTCTGACTCTGTGCGAGGAGTTCAGACCACACGCCGCTGCTCGGTGGGACAATCTCCGAGGAACGCGTCGGTTCGATATGTGACACTGCGCGACGCCAGGGCCGGGACGCCTTTTCTCGTGCGCACACCTACTACCGACTGACGCATATCATAAACAGGCGCTGGCGTTAAACATACACTTGGCATCCGGCCACGTGGTGTCCCAAAAGGATCGGTGCAGAGGCTTTTTCCCACAGAAAGGGCTGTCGACGGCGATAAAAAAAGAGGCAGCAGTAGCAGTAGCAGCAGCGACCGACCGACCGACCGATCGACCGATCGACCGACCGACCGACCGATCGACCGACCGACCGACCGACGCCCTAGCGAGTCAGCGCGTAATCACTGCCATCTGATCCGCGACCCCTACCCCTCGCGTCTGACCCTGCGCGTGATCGTCGTCCCCGCTTGCAATCTCGAGCCTTGCGCGCGACGGCCGCCTGTCTCTTGTCCAGTGCGTTTCTATCAGTCCCTTGCGCGTTTCTATCGGTCCCTTGCGCATTTCTATCGCGCGCCACCACCGCACCGCTCGTCGACCGTCGGGGCCGTCGCGCGCGGTCGACCTCGGCCAATCACAACGCCGTGCGGCGGGGCTTTTCAGCCAATCCCCGGCCGCACCGCCACCCCATGCCGCCGCACCGCACGCCGCGCGCGCCCGCCGACTACGTCCCCGCGCACCTGCGGCGCTTTGTCTTCCACTCGCAAGACGACTTCTACGTCTCGCGCCACTTCGACCCCGTGCTCCTGAGCCACCTCATGTACGCAGGTTTCCTGCCCATCGCCTCGGACGTCCACGAGACGTGCTATCTCCTGCCCAAGCTCCACCAACAGCGCTGTGTGCTGTGTTTCCAGCCACAGACGCCACAGCACGTGCCCAAGAGCGTGTTGAAGCGCGCCAAGCGGTACACATTCGTACTTAACCGAGACTTCCACGCCGTAGTGGCCGGGTGCCACGAGCAGCACGGGGTCCCGTGGCTCTATCCGCCTCTGGTCGAGAGCTTTGAGGCGCTGTTTAAGGCGCGAGAGACCGGTGTGGCGCTCGGTTCGGGCCCACGTGTCCAGCTGTGCACTGTCGAGCTCTATGAAGTGGCTACGGACACGCTCGTGGCTGGTGAGCTTGGGTACACGGTGGGCCGTGTCTACACGAGCTTGACAGGCTTTAGTCGAGCCAGTGGGGCAGGCACTGTGCAGCTGCATGCCCTGAGCAGGTTTCTGTACTTGGCTGGGTTCAAGATGTGGGATCTCGGCATGTCGATGGACTACAAGATGAGTTTGGGAGCGACGAACGTGGAGCGCGATGCCTTTCTGGATGGGCTGTACAAGTGGCGGGACCAGCAAGTGCAGCTGACATTGGGCAGTGAGAGCAGCGAGGAGAGCGACGTGCGGGTGGGTGTGGCAGTGAAGACGCTGTTCGACATGTCGCGACCTCAGCGGGCAGAGATGGGGGACGAGCAAAGCGAGAAAAGAGTGCGGGAAGTGCAGGATGAGAACGTGGTGGAGACAGTAGCGAGTGGAGACAAGGAGAAGGATGGTGGAAAAGCAGGTGGAGGCGAGGAGGCGAAGGACGACGCAAGGCACGCGAAACGGGGAGCCCACAGTGAGAAACGAAAAGCAGCGTCGGGTGACGAGCAGCGGGACGAAGCGAAGAGAGGCAGGGCGAAAGCCGACTTCCGGTCAATGTTGAGACCCGACGTGGATTAAACGACGACTCAATGACTCGCCCTCGTCACGAACGGCGACTGTGCCGTTTTCGCGAAGACGTGACGGAGTTTACGACAAACTGTTGCTTTGTCATTGTGTGGGACTGGCTGACGGGGACTGGCTGACGGGGACTGGCTCCATTCGCTGCCGCTCTGAACAAAGTGTTGTACAATACGGGGAGCATATTCGACTCGAGTGGTAGCCGCGATGACAGCGCGGACATCAGGTGTCCTGGATCGGACGTCTCACCGTTCTTCCGCTCGCCATTGTTGACGATAGCGAGTGCGGAGCTAGCTAGCCTTCTTGGACGACACGTCGGTCACAGGAATCCTGCTTCCGATAAACTGTTTACAAATAAAATACTCTCCTGCGTATTGGCATTGCGCGCGAGCTGATACAACACAGAGCTGTCTTTCCGAATGCTGTGCAGCGTCGAACAAGTGACACGACGAGATTAATTCGACTTGCAAAGTCACCCAAGCAAAAGCCGCATAGAGAAACAACGTACGTGTCAATCCGGTGGCGAATGTGGACCTGCGTCCTTCTATCATGCCGCAAACTGCCGCGTCCTTTCCTGGACACGCCATTTGCGTTCGTTCCATTACCACCACCAGCACTCGAGCTAGCAGGCACGTAGTCGAAATTCTGACGGTCCAGGGACTCACTGATGATACGGTAGATCTTGCGGAACTTTTGCCAATTCACGAGCCCACCTTCCACAGACTTCATAGCTTCTTCGTACGTGAACAAATCCTTCACCAAGATAAACCAACAAGCGAGTCGTGGCTGACCTTCGGCCAAGGCAAACGCTTGACGATAGCTGCGGTAGTTGTCATCGGGCGAGCACACCTGCTGCAGGCACTGATACTTTTCCTGCGTAGCCGCAGTAACGAGGCTCCACGTGGTGTTGAGCTGCCGAGTACATGGCGCCGACAAGCCAGTGGTGATTTCAAACAGCGTGTTAAAATTGTTCATCTGGTAGCAGTTGTCCGCCGCATCGATGAAAAGCGTAATCACCTTGGCACGTTCGACGGCCTGCAATTGCGGGTGCAGAATCTCGCTCGAAACCCACTCAGCCGTTGCATCAAAGAGCTCGATCAAAGCCATCACGTGAGGAGCTTCGCAATGCTTCGTTTCACGTGTCCAGGCCTTATTCGTCAGCTCCCGTGGGTTCAGTTTCGAAAAGTACTGATCTGCCTCCATCAGCGTGAGCTGATCGGCCAGTTCTTGGGCAGAGATGCCCGACAGCGGCTCCAAGTTATCGTAGCCTATACGCGCACTTTTACGCGATGTCGCCGTTGCTCTCGCGCGTTGCAACGTATCCTGAATGATCTCGTCGAAGAAGTCATCCGTGCCATTGCTACTGGTGCTCGCTTTGACAGCGGCATCAGCGCTGCCGGTAGTAACACCTCGCGCAATCTTCGGCGCCTTTGCAATGGCATTAGATACCAAACTCTGTTGCTGAGCTCCTTCGCGCAGCATTCGATCGCTTGCAGCCGCCACGACTGCCGTCCGGTCATCTGCTACAACGGGTATGGGCCGACTCCTCAGCTGAAATATATCGCCACTGGAAATCTTGGTACGGAGTTTTACCATAGATCGCTCACGCTTGGGGTCCGACGAAGATCGCGGCAGGGCCGGTTTGGTCGTGGCTTGTGACCGCGTTCGAGAATGCGAAACTCCGCGATCGCCAAGCTGATGCGCCAGCGCTAGCGCCACTACGCTTCGGGAATCCTGACCAGCGTCGCCTCCTGGACTCAAGACCTGTTTATCAGCCAGCGACGACACCGAAGCTGAAGTCACGAGGGTCGGCGGTGGCAGCGGCTTTGAGTTCACGCGCTGAGATTGGGCTTTCGCATGGGCTTGCGCTTGGGCCTGGCTGAGAAATTGCGCTTTGGCCTGGGCTTGCGCTTGCGCTTGAGCCTGGACATGAGCTTGCTGCTTCTGTAACGACAATAGTTGAGCAACCGTTAGTAGCAGGTTTTCAGCGTGCCGTCGAATGGATGGAATGGGCGACGTGTTCCGAATCTCGCGGAGAAAATTCATCAGCTTCCGCTGAGCTTTGCGGTCGTTGGCGAGGTCCTGATCAATGAACCCGCTTTCCTTGATCCAGAATTTCAAGACACTCAGCAGGCGCATGATGGACACGTTTGCCTCCATTCCAGTAGCAATATCTGATCGTGCCGTCGAAACGGACGTCACATTCGACTCTCGCTGCTCACTTTCCTCTTCGAGCGTAATTTGGTCCAGCAATAACTGCGTTTCTCTCACAACCTCGGCGTCGAGGCCCCCGCAAAGCGACAGCACAGCTGTATATCGCTTCAGAAGCTTCTTGATAAAGTCGTACGGCGAGCAGAACGAACGATACGTCAGCAAAAACACGTCGCGAAATTCCGTGTCATACTGGTGAGCGTCTGTAAGACGAGCGATCAGTTTGCCAAGCGATGCATGCGAGATTTCCCGTTTGCCACCCATGCCGCGATCTGGAGTTTCGTAGCGAATGCGAACTGGCCGAGGCTTTGGCGCAGCATCGCAATCACCTGCTGCATCGTCACCAGAGTGTGGAACTTTGCGTGCCGCTGCCCGGGGTGTGGCAGAGTCTTGCACGTCAGAAGATAGCGACAAAGGAGGCGGTGGCGGGGGTAGCCCTCCGCTGCCTCCTGGCGATGCTGGCTGTGTCGAGCCACGCGCCGAACTACGAGCTCGTGTTCTAGCCTGGTCCAGTAGGGGCGAGTCGCTTCCGCGCCTCCTCCGACTTGTTGCCGCTACTTGGCCAGGTGGTGGTGGGCTCTCCATGAGCTGCCGGCTATGACGACTGCTGTACAGCCGCTGCGAGGATAACGGATCGCGACCGTGGCGTTCCTCGTCCGTACTGCTCGAGTTGCCAGAGATCGACCGCTTCAGTCGAAGATGCCACTTCTCCAAGCTGCTGATCGACCCGTCAGCAGATCCGACCCGTGGACTGCTCGACACAACCTGCAAAGTGCTGCTCGTTACCTCCGTCTCATTGACATTGCCAAGTGACGGCTGCACATGCGCTGATCGCGCCGACGGCCGATGGGCCTCACTATTGCTGCACGACGGCACTGTCGCTCGTCGTTTTACCACCATCCGCGATGGTTTCATCATCACAGCAGCAGTTTGTTGCTGCTGCTGCTGCTGCTGACGGTGTCCCCGGTGTCCTGATCGCCGCTTTGGCCTCTCGTCCCTGTCACTTCCATGCTCACCACCTGAAGACGACGACACATAAGTTGCTGGCGATGTCGGCGGCGACTCTAGCATTGGCTTGACCTTGTTTCCTGCCTGTGATGATCCAGTGCCCACCTGATCACAGCCAGCAGCAGTAGCAGCAGCAGCAGTACTGCGCGCAGCCTTTTGGACACCTCCTGTCTCTGAATCAACACCGTGTGGTGCTGCGGCTACAGCCGCCTTATCCTCAGCTGCAGCTCCTTCCACGAAACGATCTCTCGACCGATGACGCCTCGGCGGACTGGGCCGGCACGAAAACGCCACTGGCCGTCGTCGCAACGGCTCCATGTCCTTGTCCAGCACCTGACCCGCGCCCGTCTCGTGTCCACAAACACGTCCAAGCGCTTCCCCGGCAGACGGTCCGGTCGTCGACGACGCAGTAGAGACCGTCGACGACGACGTTGGGGTAGCGGTCGCCACGCGATCGTCCCGCACGTCCTTCTGCTCGCGCACTCGTCGATTGCTACTGTTGTTGTTGTTGCTGCTGCTGCTGCTGCTGTTGCTCCTCGCGGCTCTGCGTCCGTCTCGTTTCGCGGGAGAGGCCGTGTGCACTGCGCTACTTACGGTACTCGTGTTGTGGCTATGGCGGCTTTTGCTGCGGCTACTTGGACGAGTGGTGCGACTGCTGCTATTGGTACCACTGCTACTGCTGCTCGTGGCAGTGCTATCGACAGCGCCGGACGAGAGCAGACGACGGGCGACGGGCGGCGACGTACCGGTACGAGACGGTGCGCCTGTCGGTGTGCGGTCCTGAGCCATAGCGACGCAGACGCCGTCGGGGCGGGCGGGCGACAAGCGGAGAGGAAGAGGAGCACAGCGGTATGTGGTCGACGGCAATTTGACCAATGGCAGAAGAGCTGCGTCGAACGCGTGAGAGCGCTCTGACATGCGGTCGGAAGTAGTCGGAGAGAGAGCGAGACACATTGTGAGTGGGCGACTGAACCGGTAGGCGGTGGAAAAGAGGACACTTGAGTGCGGACAGCGTGCGCGACGATAGTGTGTTCGTTGCGTCTTCGGCTTTGTACGACTGTTGCACACGCGATCGAACAACACGGGGCGGGGGTTGGAGCGAGACGAGGTACAGTGCGTGCGTGACGAGGCGGTCGATCATTTTGCGGCACTCGATCGTCTCCGTTGGCGCTGAGTGAGTAGTTGGCGGCACGTGTTGAACATAATATGTGCCCAACATCGCAGCATCGTCAGTGTGGAATGGCGACGACTGGGGGTAAACATATATCTCCATCGAGAAACCCGTCTGCTCTATCGACATGTCGTCGTCAGTGATATAGACCCACAAATGTGGTGAGAAGATGTGAGATAGTGCACCACGTGATCACGAAAAAATGCACTGCCAGATAGGCCGCCGAGCAGAAAAAGCACTAACTAACAAAGAAGAGAATCAATTGCAATTCTCAAAAGTTAGCGATGCGCATGCGATGATACTACACAAAAACATTTACGCAATGTAGCTGGAGCTTCCTCTCGATAGAGTCCATTGCCTTCTGGTGCATTGGGTAAGCCACAAGTGTTCGAGTCCAGCGACTACCTGTACGAAACCTTCTTGACCAAAGCAGGTTCAACTACAACTATATCTGATACAAACTGCTCAGTATTTAAACTCCGGTTTTGGTACTGAGCTTGCGGCCTCTCGGCAGGAGTAACCCTATCAAAAAATTGCACCTCCCTGTCAAAGTATTACACCTCCCTGTCAAAGCATTACACCTCCCTGTCAAAGCATTACACCTCCCTGTCAAAGCATTACACCTCCCTGTCAAAGCATTACGCCTCCCTATCAAAGCATTACGCCTCCGAAGGTGCATGATCTCTACTGCGGAGGGCTTGTTAGCGTGAGGGTAAAGAGCCTGGTGTGTATGGCTTACAAAATCGAGTGATGGTCATCCGTCGCCCGGTACGATATATACCCACGCACCAGCTTGCACGCACCCAACTTTAGTCAGCCCACGGCCAGGGAAGTGTAGGTCTTAGCTGAAGAGGAGGGTAGCTGATCGTCGCAACATATGTTGAGTAAGTCTACCGGACCTACCGAAGAATACATGCTTGATAGTACATGTTAACGGTAGATCTACTTGTTACAATACAACCAAAGGTCAAAGCGATCTACAAGATACTGAGCATTCACGAAGGTCGAGTGAAGTTGGTCCAATGTATTGTATACAAACCAATTATCGTCGTACCGGTGAAGCATACGGAAGGTACGCCGGGTCGGTCGCACCACTCGCTGAGAGTGTCAGGCAATCAAACAAATAAAAAGTTGCGCGATCACTCGTTAAGTGGCTAGCACGAATTCTGTTGACTTTGTTCAAACACGAGGTCGAAAAGACTGAGTACAACATATTTGCCACTTCCTCTTCATCCATTAAACTCGCAGCATAAACCCCACTCATTTGTACCCATTTACCACGTATTTGAAACCATCTGCGTTGATGGCATGCAAGTATTTTGCTCTATGACACGTAGCTTATCGATGTCATATTTCTACTTTTTTGCAGGTACACCGACAATGATAAGAATGCAGTGTATTTTTGGATTCAGTATATTGTGCTACATGCTAGATATCGACTTCTTAGTCGATATCTACACTACACACAGCGATACTGTGCCAATCTTCACAGCTGCCGTACATCGAAATGGAGATCAACATCAACACCACCATAAGCACCTTGTTCTTGTAAGATTGTAGTGGTGCACTTTGTGCAAAGTAGGTGAAAGTAAAAGTGAATATATTGTGTGTTAAGAACTTGCTTCCTACAACACTACGATATGTACGACCAAAGACGGAAACTACAATTATACCATGTCAAGTCTCATGTGGTGACCGTCTCTCCTTGTCCCATGAGACATCCCGTAACATGAAGTCCGTCTTTCCTTGGTCCATGTGACATCCTGTCATATGGCGCCCGTCTCTCCCGTCCCATCTATCATTCTGCCACATCATCAGCCAATCAGGTGAGGTCGCACTTACTTGTACCAGGTCTTGCACTTGACCTTCACAACCTCTTGACTTGTCAGAAAGAGTATATCCTAACATTCCTCCTCGACGTCTGCCTGAATGGCCTTCAACTTGAACATCTTGAGTAAGTGCACAATCCGCGGCGCTGGCAATGCCTTCGTCAATAGGTCTGCAATCATGTCTCCAGACTTGACATAACTCGGCTTGACTATCTTGACTTGAGCGTGGTGGCAGGTAAACTTAATTCGAATGTCAACGTGCTTAGCGCTTGACGTACTCTTCTCGCTGTCTAGCTGCTTGATCGCGGCTTGGTTATCCATCCACATCGGCATCGGCTCAACAACCTTCATGTTCAGCTCACCGAATTGTCACTTCAGCCCTTATAGTCACGTCCTGCCTGCGACGCCGCGATTAACTCAGAGTCCATGGTGCTCAGGGAGACGCCATTTTACTTCTTGCACGCCCATGACACCACTGCTCCATCCATCGTCAACACGCATCCTGAGACCGACTTGCGGTACGACTTGTCTACTGCAAAGTCCGCGTCTCTCCAGCTCTCAATCCTGATCGGGTCCATTGACTTGCCTGAATTGTTAACAAAAAACTTCAACTCTTTGTTCCCTTCAGATATCTTTCAATGCGTTTGTCCATCTTCTAAATCATTCAAGCTTGGGTTGTGTGTCTGCCTTGTCGCACGATGTACCGCAAAGCTGATGTCCGGTCGCGTACAGCGTGCAATTCAAAGCAGGCTTCCGAACAGCGACTGGAACGCCTTGATGCTCGCATGCCGAGACCCAGCTGACGTAACTAATGTGTCTGTAGCTTCAGGGTCTACTTCGTTGCAGTCTTCATCAATAGGAGCTCGAACATCATTTTCCGACTTCAGTCCATGGTCCTTTAGCAACACGTCTAGCAATACATCTTGGTCCAGCGTGTAACCACACTTGTCATCTAACAGAATTTTTAACCCCAGAAACTTGTTGACGACTCCTCGATCCTTGATCTCGAGGCACACCATGCTCTTAAAAACTGCTCCACAGCTTTACTTGAAGTTCCTGTGACCAAAAGGTCGTCGACGTTTACCCCTACGATAGAAACGGCCTCGTCAAATCTTCTTGAGGTATAGGCACATGTTCGTCGTAAACTGGCTGAAACGGAGTTCAACTAACTTCGAGTGCAACACTTGACTCCACAAACGTTCAGCTTTCTTCAGCCCTTATAGATACTTCTTTAAAAGCAAGGCAAGGTGTTGTGGGTGCTTGACACCGTGTTCGCCAAATATGCCTTTAGTCACTTGCATGCCGCTAGCCACCTTCATGTAAATGTCGAGATCCTTTTCCTTCTCTGCCTTGACGTAGGCGTTTAAGACGTAACCGTGGCGCGCTGGTACGTTGCATCGACTCGACAGTACCAAGATGACCTTTGCGGTGCCAAGCTCCATGACTGCAGCAAAAGTCAGTGTGTATTCGATTCCGAACATCTGTTCATTTCCGCATACTACCAGTATAGCGTTGTACCGCTCCACAATTCCATCGGCGGCGGGTTCGTTTTGAACACCCAATTGTTATGTAGAACGTGTGAATTTTCGGGCGGTACCACCACCGTCCACACTCCATTTGATTCTAGAGCAGTCAGTTCTTCAGTCATCGCTAGGCGCCACTTGTCTTATGATGGACTTCGCATAGCCTCACCGTAGTTCCTTGGGTCTGACTTGGTCACGATGCTGACGATATCTTGATCTTCTTAGTCTTTAATTTCATCATTCGACTCATCCAATTTCTTGCCAATGGATCTTGTCACGTGTCGGTCACACGTCCATCCGGATGAACGAGTCGTTGCTGGACGTCCGTTGTGATTATCTTGTGACTCCTTCTTACCTTCAGCATCATCTTAAGCTTCTAGTGCTTTGCCATCTTGTATGGTGTTCAGGGTCCCAATGTTCCTCATATGTTGAGTGACCACGACAACGCGCTCCTTTGGCAGATAGACACAGTATCCCTTTGTATCATCGCTCTTTATGATGATGATTTCCGCATTTCCACGCGCACCCAGAGATTTGTTGTCCGTGTGAAAGTGAACTGTGCACGTCGATCTAAACGCCACGATGTCGCTGAGGTTCGGCTTCTTCATGGTGAGTAGCTCAATCGGTGAGACCCCACCCTCGTTCGCCTTAGTAGGTCTTCGGTTAAGTATATAAGCTGCATACTCAGCAGCATCACCCCAAAAATTCAAAGGTAGTCCGCTTGAAAACACCATGGTGCGCACTAGTTCATAATCGTGCAGTGCATCCTTTCGGCTTTGCCATTTCTGTCCTGTTATCACGCTCGCTAATTTGGCGAGCGACACCAGTGTCTTTGCAGAACATATTTAGAGACTTGTATTCGCCTCCACCATCCGTGCGTAAGACGTGGATCCGGCCATTGATACGTCGCTCGAAATCCGACAGGAAATGATTGAAATTCATCGCGGCAACGTCTTTAGTTATCGCCAGCAATAATTCGGCAATAGTTGGATCGATGATCGACAAAGTTGATCAGGTATCTGTTTCTGAGCCGATCGAGAGGAGTCATGACACCTTTAAGATCAGAGCAAATGACTCCTCCTATCATGTCAATTGGCGAATTGGTACCACTTTCTCTGCGAGATTGTTGGCTCTTCGTCTGCTTGCCTTGTGCACAGGCCAAGCAATTAACACGCTTAGTATATGTAAGCATTATACCAGGGCAGGGTCACGGGCCATCTTGACGATTGTGTCGTAGCATAGGTGACCCAAACGTCGATGGAACTG